AGTAATATCTGAAGACACTGGAAGAAAGGTCAGCCAAAAAGGTTCTTACCTCACAATGAGGTAATACATCGGATTTGAGGTAGACACCGGCGGAAGAGCAGTATATGTACCTGCAATTTAGATCCCAAATTTAGTCATGATACAATCCATCGAAGCGTCAACAATCTGTAATCTTCTGCCGATTGAACTTCATCTGCATAGCTAATGTCCACCCTCTCAACCCAGCTTTCTCATTCATTGATGTCAAATTTCAATGTGCACATACATGAGCAAATGGGGGGCAAAAGATAACAAACGGATCATATGTAGCTTTCATGTTAAGACTTCAAAATTTCCTCTTTATGAGACGAGAAGCTTTATAATATTTTCCAAGCAGCTAGTATTTCAAATTGTGGATGACACTTTTGATAAAAGGACTTCGGAAATTTCACAATTTTTTACTGTATGACTGAAATTGTTGTCAAAATGAACTGACTAGGTAACTGGTTAATGAACAGACTAATAACAAGCCGTGTTTATTGCTGACGTTGATTCTACAATACTTAAAAAGACTAGGAGTCATTACTGCTCCAATTTTGGCAAAGCTTCGATTATGGGCTGCACTTCATTTGCCTCCCGTCCTGGAACATGTACCAACCAATCATTATTCGAAGCCGAAGCGTGCGACATGCAAATTTTATAAAAATACTATCGACCATAATGAAAAATGTGAAGGATACTGGACGCATAAGGTGAGAGGAAGTAAGGCTGTGCGCACCATTTATGTCATAAACAACATCGAACCCTTCTGCCGATAGACTGGACTTAACGAACTGGAAGTCCTGTCTGTCTCCTTTCAAGTGCAGGATCTACGAAAACCAAATTATCACAAACCATTAATGCTCTGAATATGAGACGAATCAAGCTCAGCAAATGCATACCTTAGAAGAAAAATCAGCATAATCGCTGTCTGATTCACCAGGCAATTGTTGAGTGATGGGTGCTTTTCCTCTGGTAAACAGGGTCACCTGCCAAATTTATGAAGATCGACTGGCAGATTGTCAGCGTTAGGTCGTTGGGAAGCTAAAGAATGTGGGAATGTAATGGCTGAGTGATACCTGGTGACCCTCTTTGACAAGAAGCCTGGACAAGAACACACCGATAAAGCGAGTGCCTCCCATTATGAGGATTTTCTTGTTGCTTGACGCCGAGACGTAAAATCCCCCTTTTGGCTGCCATACTTTCTTTTTCAGCTGTTATCAGAAATGAGCATGGTATGAGTTATACCAGGGACACGTGAAGAAGGTTGATTGAAGGGTAAGGGGAGCAACCTGAATTTGGGAGTGAAGTCTGGATCCATTGAAATCAGAAAGAGAGGAGGCCAAGGGGGGGCAAGCTAGGTGGTTCTGTTGGAGGGACACAAGCCTTGCCATTCCGTTGGAGCTGGAGTTCCGAAGTGTGTTTCCTGGCGCCAATTGCTCACCTCATTTTGAGCGGTTGGGATAAGGCAGCGGCCCATCCACAACCTCTCATTCCTTTTCTGTGCCAACACTTGTTATCACATCGTTAGCCTCTGGAAGATTAAAATGACTTTGACTTCCTCTGTCAGTGCTGCTTGTAAAGAAGGCGACTCGCACGAAGACATATTGCCCGTTTGTTGCAGCGTTCCCAAGGCTAAAAATAACTTATGGTATGTTTAGATTGGTATTGGACAAAACTGATTTCTAACCTAATTGATTTTTGTAACTAAAATTAGAGTAAAAGTCAGTTAGTATAAGTATAATTTATATTTGGATAGGTGCTTTTAAAAAGTCAGTTAAAAAAGTTAAAAATTATTTAGATGATTAATAGAAAAGTTAGTTTAGTTGTAAAATGACTGAAAAGGGCATGAAGTAGTATTTGAAATTTTATGTTTTTAATGAGATAATAGTTTTAAAAAAATTAAAATTATTATGATAAAATATAAATAGTTTATTTGTAAAATTATAGAATAAAAATATTCGTTACGGAAAAAAAAATTGAAAATATATTGTAGATAATTAATTAAATATATATAATGGACAAACATGAATATAAATTAAAATTTATTTGGTCTCTAATTAAATTAAATAGAATCACATAATTAATTAGATCATAAGATTTGCACAATTTTTCCGTAAGTCAGTTAGAAAAATTAATCCAGATTGTATTGGATAAGTCAGTTAGAAAAGAAACCCCATCCAAACAATCTTATGAGTTACAATAAGCCACAAACCTCAATTTTATGCTTTCCCGTGTGCTTTTATCATTTGTAACAAGAATCCAAACAAGCCCTTAAAAATTTAGCAAGTGATTTGCAAATTTAAGAACTATTTATTACAGTTTTTGAACAATCTAATTTATGAGTCAAAAGTTATTTTTTATATTTTTTTATACAAAAGCAACTTTTTAAATTAAAATTTTTTTTACCCTTATATTTATATTGTTTTTATGCTTCTGTCTGCATATTTCTTATATTTCTTAATTAATTTTTAGTTATTTATTTTGAATACTCTTTTAAGTAGAAACAATTTTAGGACAATGAAAAAAAGAAGTTGAAATTTTGTAAATGCCAAACAAGGAATGTTAACAAAAATTTGTTGTCATTTGTAAATTCAAACTTGTCAATACCAAATAAAGTTGTTAATTTTTAGTATTATCTCTCACTTTATATTTAAATAAATTATGCACAGTATATCATTCAATTAATTATATTAATATTATTGGTTAAAAAAATGCTCATATTACTATGATTTCTAATTTAAATATATTTTTCTTCATTAAATATAACTTCTTCCAGTTATAATAATTTAAAATCATTATATTTTGTAAATTCATATTTTTAATTGTTTTTTATTATTTATAAAAATCATATCCATTTTGGTTATTCTACAAATTAAACTTACTTATCTAACTATAATTCGAACAATTTTTCTACTTTACAAATTACTTTTTATAAAATTTAATCCAAACATAAATTACATTACTCAATCTAACTTTTATCTAATTTCATTTTTCTAAAAGTCATATTGAAGATAAGTTTTTTTTTTTTTTTACCAGCAAGCTTTTTGTGTTGTTATACAGCACGAGTCGTTTCAATTCGTGTTTTTGAAAGTTGGTTTGACAAAAATTAATTGGAAGAATCCAAATTTTTTTTAAAATTTTAAATTTTAAATCAATTTTGTTCGTCATGTTTTAATAATAATTGATAACATTTGAAAAGTAAATAATAATAAATTTTTCTATTTATTTTTAATTTAAGTTTTTGAAATTTTAAAAGTATTTTTCCAGAATTCTCTGAATTTAATTTGATAAAAGTCATCATGTTTAGATATTTTCTAATAAAATAAGCTTGATAAACGGAAAGTTATGGAAATGATACATAATAAAAATCTATTTTAAAATGTATAATTACTAAAAAAACATAAATTTTATGAGACGTAGTTTTCTTTGTGCGAAAATCGATCTCCTTGTTCTGGCCACATGTAAAAGTTGATTTATTGGGAAAATATATAAATAATATAGAATTTGATTTGATGAATAGTATGGCTAACAAAAGAACGTACAGATAATATAAAATTTTATATATTGAATAATATATGTGATAAAAAGTATAAAAAAATTTAAAACGTCGGGAAATATATAATAAGAATTTTTTAGATGATATAAAATTTGATATATTGATATATTGACTAATAAAAATAAAAATATAAACTATGCTGGAAAAATCATATAAGTTCGTCTATTTCCATTAAAAAAAAAAATAGCGAGGGGCAGCATGATAAAACAGGTGGTTAAAATTCTTTGTTCACAAAAAAAAAAAAGGGAAAACCATATTGAATGTACCTATACTTTCTCTCAATTTTTAATTTGGTACCTATGTGTTTTTTTTCCCTTTAATTAAACATTTAATTTTATCTTTTTAGCAACATTAGCTCTTATAACTTTGTTCTATTGATATTTTTAGTCTCTACATAAGGATTAATGATGTTAATAAAGGAAAAATAAAGATTTAGTTAAGAATAAAAAACACATAGGTACCAAATTGAAAATTGAAAAAAAGTATAGGTACCTCCAATATGGTTTTTCCAAAAAAAAATTGACCTGAGAAATTTTAAACAATCATACTGTTTACAATATTTAAGCATAATTTAAACATTATAAAATAAAAAAATAAAATTGAGAAAAAAGACCCCTTAATATATGAAATTGCAATTTAAGATTCTCAATGTAGAAAATAGCAAATAAAGACCTAATCTCATATTGTAAATATGAAATCTTGATGAAATGTTTGAAATGTCCCTCCATCAAATTATGATTTGGTCTGTTGAAATTGTTATTCGCTAAAGTGAATTTATTATTTTCTATAGTCAATTTGTCACTTGGAAGGGGCATTTCAGATAGAAAAAATAGCAAATAAAGACCACATAATATATGAAATTATAATTTGAGACTCTCAATTTGAAAAATAACAAATAAAGACCCAGTCTCATATTGTAAATATGAAATTTTGGTAAAATGTTTGTAATGCCCCTCAGCCAAATTATGATTTAGTTTACTGAAATTGTCATTTGTTAAAGTGAACTTATCATTTTATATAATTAACTTGTCACTTGATCAAGGAATATTTCAGATATTTTATTAAGATTTTATATTTGTAATATGAGACTGAATCTTTATTTATCATTTTTCAAATTAAGAGTCCCAAATCATAATTTTACATATTAGGGGGTCTTTATTTATTATTTTTCTTTTCAAACATTTCACTAAAATTTTATATTTACAATATGAAATTGGGTTTTTGTTTTGTTATTTTTCAAATTAAAAGTATTATTTGTTATTTTTAGATGACGTGAAATGCCGAAACGAGCGATCAAGTACGCCTCGCAATCTTGACGCGGCGGAGCGAGGGGAGTTAGATGGGCGCTTTTGCAATTTTATGAAATGTCGAGGGCTTTCATGCAAATCCGACATCATTTTGGATCCGGGGGGAGGTCCAACAAACAGAGACCCGAGACGAGGGTTGTAGTCTGAAGTGATCGCGGAGGGAGCAAACGATAGAATTCGCAAGATCTGTTGTATTGAAAAAAAGAATTTGCAAGATCTGTTATGGTCGTGACCGTAAGCTTTGCCTCCATAACTTTTTAGAAGCTTTATTCCTTCTCGTACAACATGGATCTCAACCAGGTGACGAAACTCGTTCTAGTTTAGTCTTCGATTTCGAGGTTTCTTGCTTTCAACTTTTTTTTTTTTTTGGTTCAGGAATGGGTTTATGCTGTACTCTCTATCTCTCTCTCCTTTTCCTTCTTTTCCGGTGTCTGTGCCGCGATGTTTGTTAACAATAGGTTCTTGCCTATGATTAGATCTGGTTTGCCAATGTTGGCTAGATGTTGCTTGGTCGAACTTTTGATGATCTATCTGCAATTAAAATGTTCTTCGATTTTGATGGAAATCGATACGCATGTTTAGGTGAACGCAGAATGTGTGTTCATAATTGAGGATTGATTGAATTGAAAGATGTGGAATTCACATCTTGCTTCAGTATTTGCTGTATATTTGGCCTTCTTTGGTCGAATTGAAGCTCTTTCGGAAGCCTTCTGTTTACTTCGAAATCTCATGCTGTTGTTTCCCGATAGATAATTGATTAATTTTTCTTCCATGTGCAGCCTGTGGGTGAAAACTACGCCAATCCAAAGACTTGCTTCTTTCATGTTCTATTCAAGGTTTAACTAACTGTGTTCATCGTATAACTTTCTAAATTAATCATGTTGACGTCATAGAATTAACTCTTTCAGTATCTGGCAGGCTGCAGCCTTGGCATTTTACATTCTCTCTGCCCTTTTCATTGATAACTTTGTCATCATATTTGTGGTGACTGTCCTTCTTGCTGCTCTTGATTTTTGGGTCGTCAAGAATGTCAGTGGGCGTATTTTAGTTGGTTTGAGGTGGTGGAATGAAATAAATGATCTGGGTGAAAGTGTCTGGAGATTTGAATCCCTTGACCAAGAGGTAGGTGTTCTATATATTTTTATGTGGTGTCATCTTTGAAATAATAGCTATTAACTCCTCATCATCTATTATATCCGCTCAATTGCAATAGAATGCACTCCTAGTGCTGCATAATACATGCATCTTAGTCATGTTTCCCCCCTCTCTTTCAGTCACTGGCCCGGATGAATAAGAAGGATTCCTGGCTTTTCTGGTGGACCCTTTACCTTGCGGTAAGAAAATACTTTATCTTGCGCTAAGAAAATGTGGATTGAATACAGCATTCAATGACACAGCTTTTTATTCTTATGTCCTTTATGTAGAAATGCGGTGTTTTGTAATTGTGACAGTATCAAGTATCAAATATCGGATAAAAAGAGGATTGTTTGATTTTTTTCAGAAGGGGAGCGGGGATGGAATGATCTTGTTAAGTGAGGGGGTTTATGTGTTGCATGAGAGTTGAGTTTGATTGGCGGTTAATTTTGATATGTTGCCTCTGCCTGAACTGCTTCCTACTCATGTTTATCATTTTTACCTGTAATTTAAGCATATGAATGTCCTTAAGTGAATCTGCTCAAAAAGTGAAGTTTGTGTCTTATAGGCAATTGCTTGGATCGTGCTCGGAATATTCTCACTCATAAGGCTTCAAGCTGATTATCTCCTTGTCATAGGAGTTTGTTTGACCCTAAGCATTGCAAATATTGTGGGTTTTACCAAATGCCGAAAAGGTGCGCAAGCAATTTATTGATTTGTTTAGAATTCATATTTTTTCTCCCATAAATAGTATGGAGTACTTTATTTCCCCATCCCATGAGATCCTGGCATCTGGTGTTGATATCAGTTTACTACCGTTTTCCCAACATTAATTGCCATCGTGCCATTAGAGATTTAGAGAACAGATAATTGTGTCACCCTACTCCTGCAGATGAGGCCACCCGTACTGGAGCACCTCTTTCTCATTTTGAAAGTGGCAGATTATGTCACTGAATTCTGCCTAGTTCTTGTGGGGTTGTAATATTGTTTACAAGGTATTATGTGTCAAACAATGGTGTGATTTTCTAGTCAGCTCATTGTTGATGCAACCGTGCAAGCCTCTATTAGTCCTTAACATGAATGTTGGGATTTTGATAGCCGCTTTTTTTTTTTTTTCTTCCTTTTTTTCTTTTGGGGGGGGGGTGTTGGGGGAGGCAGTAACACTGGTTTCTGCTTTCTCCGTAAAAAGGAATACTTGATATTTATGGTCGTGCTTCTGGCTAAGTGGCTCCTGCACCCCTCCCTTTTCCTGAATCTTTAGGAATCCTCTGGATGAACTTTACCTCGAGTGTCATTATTTCATCTGGTAGTCCTCGACGGGCTACCCTTTGGAAAAGTCTAGTGCTGGTTATGCTAAATATGCTTATCTTGTTCTCAGACGCTAAGAAGCAGATTCAACAGTTTGCCACTCAGACAATCGCCTCGCGGGTCACATCTTCCATACAGACAGCATTTAGTGTTGTCTGAGTTATCCGTCACCAAGGATGTTAATGGTAGCCGAACAAGTGCATTATAGGATACGTTTTGGTGGTTTGTAAAAAAAAACAACTATTTCTGCCAGCATCAGATTGGGCTGCGTCTGAATTGAACTATCGGAGGTGCGAGACGGGATATTCTGAAATTTTGTACTTGATCATATGTAATGGATTGAGTGAGACTGGCGAGATTACACAGCAGATACTAGATGCAATTTCTTTATTTCTGATGTAAATCATACTCGTCATTTATTATTTTCCGCCGTTGGTAAAGAGAATTTTACATTTAGACTCAACAGAGGGAACTAGACAAATACATGCAGCTTGCACAGGTCCAAGATGGCACAACTTGTGTTCGGAATCACGACGCTCTAACGGGAAACGATTTCCACTTCCCCCCCCCCCACCCCACCCCAAATCGAAATACAAAATTTTTTAAATAAAAAAATTGTGCCTTTATTTGAGTTTAATTTTCATCTTTTATTTATGATATCTTTTATAGATTTACACACACACGTATTTATTTATTTATTTATTTATATGTCTGTCTGAAGTAAAGAAAATCAGTCCATCAATAAATTTGTTTATTATATGACAAGAAAAATGGAGCGTTTTTATATTTTATTTCCTGTTTATTTGCTTCTTAAATAACATAACTTGGAAAAGCTTAAAATAAAATAAAATAATAGGGTGCTTTTGCTTTCTGCTAATTTTTTTAGCTGATCTATTTAAAAAAATGTGTCCCACTTATTAATACTTTAGAACAAATTAAATCAGGAATTTAAATTAATTCATTTGTATATGTTACTTTCATTTCACTTTCTAAAAAATTTAACAACAGATTTCAAATGCATATGACGAAAACTAAAAAATTTCAATTATAAGACCAAAAATTAATTTAAATGAGATCAAATTCGGCCAAAATATCAAGTAGTTTGTTGAGTTCCTTCTTTAAATAATATAGACTAGATCAGTTGGCAAAAAACATACATAAACATATATAGTTCAACCGAAAAAATAACATATATACATATACACAATACTTATATCAAATTTTTTATATTTATTATGTCAATTCAATTTGATCTCCCTTTTGCAATTCTCCACATATTTTAAAAATCTATACTTTTTTTAAGACAAACATGGCCTACACTTCAATCTAATTTGAAATTTTTGTTTTTACAAAACTATTCGTCAATTGAGTATTTTAAATTTAAAATTGAGTAAAAATATAATTTTTCAAAAAAATGCGTGTACTTTAAAGTAATATATATCAAACTATGCAAATGAACTCGCAATGCATAAAAGATGCAAATTTAATTTTACTTGGCTCCCTGTGCATTTATTACTATTCTTTAGTAATTTTTCCCCCCTGCTTGTATCATACACTGAGTCACTGATTGTGCATTCTGTTTTTTTCAATTACCGTCGTTTCATTTTTTTAAAATTTTTTTATATGAATCGCGTTTCTTCCATTTATTATGGTCAATTATAAAATTAAGTTAATCCACTCTCCGATCGCGTTTATGAGATGTTTTTGGTGGGGAATTTTTTTTTTCCCGTGTCACCTTGGTACTTCTTCACGAGAATAAAATGATTAATGTATTTTTTCTCGGAGTCCCCTGGCTGGCTGGCTTTGGCTCTGGCTGGCTTTGGCATCAGAGACACACACACACACACATATATATCGCTTCTTCGACTTGTAGTTGGAACTCCTCCTTTCGATCACATAGAAGAGGGCAAGAGATGCTTCAGTGCATATTTCTTCTGTCCGATTCCGGGTGGGTTAGTTTGTTGATTATATTTGCGAGAAATAGTGTTTTTTTTCCCCTTCAACCCATTTAAAATTTTTAGTTAATGCCAATTAGATAGTTTCTGCTGCGGCTTAGTTTCTGGGATTCAAGCTTTTACTGACCGGTGATTCAATGTTATAAATTCAATCGATTTCTTTTATTTTCTGATGTTTGATGGCTCCTTACGGTATTGATTGGTCGACTCCGAAACTTCGATTGCTTAGAGAGGTCATGCTGGAGAAACAACTTACTGGGCACCGCGTAGATCGATCTATATGTGCCTGGTTCTGGGAGCAGGCGTTTCGCAAGGTGATTCCTTCAAGGTATTTTCTTCAGTCTGAAAAGTTGTATTTGTTTTTCATCAGTCATATTGAGTTCCCCCGGGTTGGGGGTGAAGTTTTATGGACCTTACTGAGCCTTATTTGGCCATTCTATTCAGAATTTTTTTTGTCATTTACGTTTTATTTAACTTCTGTCTTGCTGGTTCTTATGATTTTACTGAGGTTGTTCTCGGTCTTGCTTTAAGCCTCTAACCTCTCATAATAACTGTGCTTGTGCATAGCAACTACCAGTGATTGCATCGCCGACGCATTATCTATTCCAAGTTTTCCGGGAGGGAATTACGTTTTTGGCGTGCACCCAAGTTGAAATGCCACCATTGATGGGAATTGAGGTAAATGTGCTCTGCAACTCATAATACGGTGCTACATAACTCATAGTAATTTTGTTTTAACTATCTGATTTTTAGTTCCTTTGTAGGGTAGCTGATGTCCTCAATGATTATCTTGGAGGGTTGAACGAAGACCTGATAAAAGACAACTTCGTTATTGTATATGAGGTACGTCTGCGATGTTATGATGTTGGGAATTGGCGTCTTTGAATCAGCGCTTTAAATATCTTCAGATAGGTTTTATTCATGTTATTTGTGCACAGGTGTATGATTTAACATAAATTTAAGTTGGTCAGCAAGTAACTAATATGTGAAATGGATACGAATTGTGAAGTTAATATACTTACGATTTACTTTCGCCAAAAAATATAAAGAAAATCCTTTCTGTTCCCCTTTTATTAAATTCCCATTTGAACATTTTTGTCAATTGTTGTAGACTTGTAGTTTTGTCCATTGCTTTGTGCTGGATTGATGAAAAGTGTTACATTGTTTTATTCTGGCAGCTGCTAGATGAGATGATAGACAATGGCTTCCCGCTAACTACTGAACCAAATATCCTTCAAGAAATGATAGCTCCCCCAAATATTGTTAGTAAAATGTTGAGCGTTGTGACTGGCAGCAGTTCAAATGTGAGCGACACCCTTCCAGGTGCAACGGCATCTTGTGTTCCCTGGAGAACAGCTGACCCGAAGTATGCAAATAATGAAGTTTATGTAGATCTTGTTGAGGAAATGGATGCTATAATAAGCAGGTATCTATGCTCAAATGTTCCCATGCTCATTTTTAGTTCCTACCGTTGATTTTTTTTTTTTTTGGGGGGATAGAAAATGATCGTAATGTTGATATTCCTTGGGGTAGCTAGAAAACATGAAATATTACAGTGACGAAGCAATTGATTAGCTTGCCAATAACCCTGAAAAGCATTGTGCGTATGTGCCTCCGTAAGCTGTAAAGCGTGGAAGTCTTGTATACTCTTTAAATTTCCACTCGAATTTGTCAATTCATCAAGGTGTATCTAGAGTAGCTTGATATCCGACTCGTAGGGGTGACCTGTTTTCTAGAATCTCAGAGAATGGCGTGTTGTTTGGTCTGAACCTGTTTGACTTTTCGGGCTTGACGTAAACATCTGGGGGGTGATTGATGGTTACTTCATTTAAGGACACTTGCCTTGTGCTTCATGTCTTTCAGCTGCGTGTTTTGTTTGTTACGAAGTTCTGTTTTTTCAGGGATGGTGCTCTGGTGAAATGTGAGATTAATGGCGAAGTTCAAGTGAATTCCCATATCACTGGTACACCTGATTTGACTCTTTCATTTGCAAATCCTTCTATTCTAGATGATGTGAGGTTCCATCGATGTGTTCGTTTTCGGCCTTGGGAGTCTCATCAAATTCTCTCATTTGTGCCACCTGATGGACAGTTTAAACTAATGAATTACAGGTAAATGACTCAGGCATGATGTGAATTTCTAAATCAGGATTTGAGACCACGGTGATGATGGTTTAACTTGGTTTGTTTATTGTTTTTTTGTTGTATTCCAAGTGGTTTGCACTCTCAGATTATAGTTTTTAATTTTTTCAGGGTCAGAAAATTGAAGAGCACCCCAATATATGTGAAGCCACAGTTAACATCAGATGGGGGAACATGTCGTGTTAATGTATTGGTTGGAATACGAAATGACCCTGGGAAGACAATTGACTCAGTTACTGTTCAGTTTGTTCTTCCTCCTTGCATCTCATCAGCTGACCTCACTTCAAATCACGGAACAGTAAACATCCTTTCTGACAAGGTATCTACTTCGCATGATTATCATATTTCTAGCCAGTAGCAGTCTTTCTGCTTATAGTTTATCTGATGTGGTTACCGAGAAGAATTGTACATACTTTATGAACTTCACAGCTCTATCATTTCAATGTGTTTTCATACTCTGTCTTTGTTTTCTCAGACATGCACTTGGTCCATTGGACGGATCCCAAAAGATAAAGCACCGTCAATGTCTGGAACACTTGTGCTTGAGAATGGATTGGAGCGCCTCCATGTTTTCCCAACATTTCGCGTGGGTTTTAGGATTATGGGCGTTGCCCTCTCTGGTTTACAAATAGATAAACTGGATCTGCAAAGCGTACCGTACCGTTTCTATAAAGGCTTTCGAGCTCTGACGCGGGCAGGTGAATTTGAAGTCAGGTCATAATTTACGTGTAACAAAAACCATAATGCAAGTGGAATTTTCAGTTGGTTGGTTTTTCTTTTCATTATGAAATAGGTTAATTATGATTGTCTGAAAACGTTAATATCTCCAGTTTTGTTAAATCGAGCAGTTAATTCTTTTACGGAATAAGATTGTAGTACTTTTCTTCATGGAATCTCAGCATCCAATTATGCTGTGTTTTCAATACCATAGCCCAAACTTGCACGCTACTTTTTAATTCTTTTGGGGTAACGGTCCATATGGCACCGTTCCGTAGTTTTGGCGTCTCGTGATTTTGTACATCCCACGTGCTTTTAATAGTACATTCCACTTTCCTGATTACAAATTTTGATGAAGCACCGAACGATGCAAGTATAATTCCAAAACAAGATAAGAGAAGTATTAATATCAACTATCAAATGTTAAATTTAAATCAAATGAATGTGCAGATCATGAGCAATACAAGTCAGCGCTCAAAATTCTCAAGGAGCCTACTAATTAGGTATCAAAGACAATCAAATAATCAATATAAGACTAATATTAGTAGATTAAGAAAAATAATTTATTTATTTATAATAAATATGAGTTGTCTTTCTTAAAATATTTTTGTTAATTATGTATATTAGCTATTTGATAAAATTTAATATGTACAACTACTATCAGAACTATTTTGATAAAAAAATGGATTAAATACAATGAACAAAATAAATTAGAATTTTCTATTTAGAATTAAATTAAATGTGAAGTTGTATTAACATACTCCTCTGGTCCTATTTATAGGGTAGAAGGAAAAAGTTTTTTTTCCTTATTTATAAGTCATTTCATTAAATTTTTAGTGTGAATATACTATTTTATCTTTTATTTATTATAGTGTAAATAGTTATCTTTTTTTTAAAGATGTACTCTCCTAGTCCTATTTATAGGGCATAGAGAAAAGTTTTTTTTTGTCCCATTTATAAGTCATTTCATTAAATTTGTACCATAAATGTACCATACTTTCTTTCATTTATTATAGTGTAGATAATTATTTTTTAAAAGGAGTATATATTAAATAGGGATAAAATTGAAAAGTTTATTTTAATGAATAGTTAATGCAATTTAAGGTTTTTCTTGATCTATGTTAAACATGTTAGAAGTGTCTTATAAATAGGACAAGAGGAGTATATATTAAATAGGGGTAAAATTAATTTTTTTTTATATTTTAATAGACTTAATGTATTTTAAAATTTTTTTTATTTGTATAAAATATACTAAAAATGTATGAGAGAAATTTTCAATGAATTGTGTCTATATTTTAAATAACATTTCCGAACAATTCTCAAATTTTGAAAAACTATGATTGGTGCCGGGAAAGGGTTCGTGGCGGCGGCTGGCAGCTTGCTTTCCAAGACAGATTTTCAATGCTCTCCGGTATATTGTCACGTTTCTTCCACGTGAACCTTTTTCTTTTCCAATATTTGCGGGCTGGAAACGTCTCTGGCTCTCCGGTTGTCGTCGTAGTCTTGCTTTTTGGAAGGAAAATTTTCAATGCTCCTTCGATTTATAATACTGCACTAACTTGTTCTTTGGAAATCACAATCGCTCTTTACATAGTTACCAGGGCTCCGATTTGGTCTGTCTTTCAGTTTCCTGATTGCACTTGATCGTAGTCAGCTTCATGAGCAATTTTATCATGAAATCCTCCCGTAGGATTCTCCTTCATTACCCGAATTCATCTTCTTTCCGCTTCCTACCATCAAAGGTGCGCCAAACTGCGGCCGACAATTCGTCGAAACTTCCTATTAATTTGGATCGCTGCAGTTACTACCCTTTGCGAATGTTGGGGTTTCGACGCATGAGTAATTACACCCAGAAAGCTTCTCGCTCACCTCTTTTAAATCTTGGCCATTCGAGGGCAATTTCAAGGTTCTTCAATTTAAGTGCAACAGAAAGAAGGGATGTTTCTGTCATTGCTAGAGTTGCGTCCGAAGTTCGCGGTTTCTCAACTTCAACTAAAACCTGTGTGAATGAAAATAATTTTGAGAGGATTTATGTACAGGGCAGTATAAATGTGAAACCATTAGTGGTGGAAATTATAGATAGAGATGAGAATATTGCAGAAGAGCAAGAATCTAGCTTAAAAGTTGGTGGTGAAAATGACATTAAAGAGAAGCCAGGAGGTTTGAATGTATCTGAGGATGTGAGTCTGAAGAGTAGAGTTAAGGAGTCTGATGCCGAAAAAGAGGCCTGGAAATTATTGCAGGATGCAGTTGTGACATATTGTGGCAATCCTATTGGGACGGTGGCAGCGAATGACCCTAGTGACAAGCAACCGTTAAATTATGATCAGGTCTTTCTTCGGGACTTCATTCCTTCTGCACTTGCTTTTTTGCTTAGGGGAGAAAAAGAGATTGTCAAGAACTTTCTCCTTCACACCTTGCAATTGCAGGTAATTTAGCACGGTTATGTCACATAGTAAATCAATTGTTTGGTTTCTCTTCGTTATGGATTTTGTGTTTCCTACCTTGTAAATCGGACAATATTTTATGAATTAATTTGATGCTTAATTTTCTTAAATTGCTAGTTTATTTAATAATTAGTGACTCTTTCTAGTTTACTTTGATTTTCGTGCAATTAATGAGTATAGTTATTATAATATATCTAATTATATAGACGAAGTATCGCTTTGTAATGTTGTTATATAATAATTGCTATTATTGCATCACATTTGAAACGGTTATCCAATTCGTCAGTGTTTGTATGATTTGGCAATAATTCCAACATGTCCAGTGTTAGCCTGCATTATGTTGCTTAATATTTCAAATTTGACGGTTTTTCACTCATTTATTTTTATCAGAGTTGGGAGAAAACCGTGGATTGCTATAGTCCTGGGCAGGGTTTGATGCCTGCTAGTTTCAAAGTTAGAACTGTGCCTCTTGATGAAGAGAAGTATGAAGAAGTTTTAGATCCTGATTTTGGGGAATCAGCAATCGGTCGTGTTGCTCCTGTAGATTCAGGTTAGTGTTTTGTGGTTTCTTGAATATTGAGTATAGGGGATGATTTGCAAAAGTTGCTAATGCTTTGTAAAGAATGTGCATTCGACAATGTCATATAGTGAGTTTCATCTATTATTTCTATGGTGGTTTCGTGATAGGGTTGTGGTGGATCATCTTGTTGCGGGCTTATGGGAAGCTCACTGGTGACTACAGTTTGCAAGAAAGGGTTGATGTTCAAACAGGCTTGAAAATGATCCTTAACTTGTGTTTGACTGATGGGTTTGATATGTTTCCTTCTCTGTTAGTCACAGATGGTTCTTGCATGATAGACAGGAGAATGGGCATTCATGGCCACCCCCTTGAGATTCAAGTGAGTCGGACTTAGCTATCTTTTGGTTCCATTGCTGGGTTTTCTTCTTAAAGATAGTGTTTGGTTCTTCTGGCTCGTGTATTAGGTGCTGTATAATTCAAAAGTCTGCTATTTCTTTATTTTGTTTTACTTAATGATGGGGTGTTGATGATTCTTTATGTTGATCAGTTGCTCTCGCTCTAGTCTCCAGGCCTATATACTTTTGACTTTTGAGTCCTGATGTTATTTGATGCCTATAGAATATTTAGTAGAGACAATTTATCCTTTGCAAACGTAAGATGAAACATTGGGTTCAAGTGGCATGATTTCTAAGTACTCCCTCCATTGTATCAGTTACTATATATTGTCTTACAATTTGTTATATGGTTTTACCTTTAGGCATTATTTTACTCAGCACTTCGCTGCTCCCGTGAGATGCTTGCTATGGATGACGGATCCAAGAATTTGGTGAGGGCTATTAACAACAGACTAAGTGCCCTGTCATTCCACATTAGAGAATACTATTGGGTGGATATGAAAAAGGTGAATGAGATATACAGGTATAAAACAGAAGAATACTCCATGGATGCCATTAACAAGTTCAACATATATCCAGATCAAATTCCTTCGTGGCTAATGGATTGGATTCCAGAGGCAGGTGGGTATTTGATTGGCAACCTGCAGCCAGCTCACATGGATTTCAGGTTTTTCATGCTTGGCAATATTTGGTCTATTGTGTCATCTTTGGGCACCCCAAAACAGAATGAGGCTATCTTGAATCTGATAGAAATCAAATGGGATGATCTTGTGGGGCACGTGCCTCTAAAGATATGTTATCCTGCCTTGGAGTATGAAGAATGGCGCATTATAACTGGCAGTGACCCAAAGAATACGTAAGTTCATTCTGTTATTTTCTCATCTTTTGTTTGCTCCTCTGTGACGCATCTATCTTCTTGTTATAATCAGAATTGCTTATGAGTCTTAACTGAAGCTCCTTGCTGAAATTGTGCAGGCCTTGGTCATATCACAATGGTGGATCTTGGCCGACGCTGCTCTGGCAGGTAACGTTTTCATGATTTTATAGTATGCTGGTAGGTCCATCTTGTGGTGTGTCTTGATGGCTCGGACTAGTGAGCCTTTGATTACCATGACACTGACCGTAGGGTATTGGATGCATGGGTGTGGCTTTGACCAGCGGCATTTTTGCATCCGCCTCTTTCCATCCTAGATGTATTACTTGGCATGTTGAACGGGCATAAGCCAGTTTAATTATTGAAATGACGTTTCCCCCTTCCCTCCAGCGTGTGCTACCCCGTTTTATTTGAAAAGATGCCTGTTCTATTAAGACATTGAACAAAGAAGGGTGGGGAAAAGGACAGTATTCTTGCGGGTTGTTGACTGTGAGGGAGAATATCTTTGCATTTAAATAGTTCGTCAGGAAATGTTGTATAAAATATCTGATTTCCATCCTCACAAGTTTCAGTTCACGCTGGCATGCATCAAGATGGGGAGGATTAAACTAGCACAGAAAGCAGTTGCTTTAGCAGAGAAGAGACTGCCTGCAGATTGTTGGCCTGAATATTATGACACCCGTACTGGAAAATTTATCGGAAAACAATCACGGCTTTATCAAACATGGACAGTAGCTGGGTTCCTTGCATCTAAAATGCTTTTGAAAAATCCTGAAATGGCATCGATATTATTCTGGGAGGAGGATTATGAAATTCTCGAGTTGTGTGCTTGTGCACTTAATAAGAGTGGCAGAAAAATATGCTCTCGCGGTGCTGCCAAGTCTCAGATTTTGGTGTGATTAGACTTCTCGGATTTTTGAACTATGCTGGCAGAATGCCTGGTGTATACTAACATTGTTTAGGGTTACACGAATTACCAAGAGCTTCATAGGACACTGTAAATTGAATTTTGAAATTAGTAACAGATTCTGCATTGCTGTAATTGTGGTAATGAAGGTTTTCTTTTTGGTAGGTTAGGGGTTTTTCCTTGTCTGTATGTAAACTAACTAAAATATAAGTTATTGTTTGCCTTGATAGTTTATTTACCGTCCCATCATTGACATTGCGATGACACTTAGAACACTGTTTAACTTTAGGGTCAGCGTTAATCTTATAGCATATGACTATGACCCTCTACGAGAGCATATTCTATGCGCATTTTTGGTCTGGATCAAATTTATTTTGAATTAGTTTAGACTAAATTTAAATTTATTTTTATATTTTGAATAAATTTTTATTTTAGTAGATACTGAATTTAAGTTGAAGATAGTGTTATAACCAGGTCTATCACTCCTCAGAAAAAATTAAATTTATCATTAAAAAATTATACATTGGAAATTTTAAATGCGAATCGTCCATTAGATTTCATTTTATCTGGAGGGGTGAATGGAAGCATGAAATCTACTTGGGTGAAACATCAGTTTTAAATTTCCCACACTTTCACAGGAGTCCTCTTCTTCTCTTGTAGTCACTGATGGTTAATGTTAAAACGTGTCTATTCCCGTCGTTCTCAGGGACTTGGCACCCGACTGTGGCTTCGACTTGTTGTTTCCTCGCCAAGAATCCATTCTTCAAGCCCTGCGGTCCCCCAAATTTCTGAAGAGCAGCCAACGAAATCGGTAACTCGAAATCATGAAGCATGTTTGTTTCTGTTCCATGATCCACCGGAGCAACCGTGTCAATTAGCTTCCCGGCGTCAGCGGCTGCTTGCAATGCTGCTTCTGTGGCTCTAACACCAACCTTGGTTGTCCCTCCTGCTTCCTGTTCTTCTCTTACCTCCTTACTATTGTCGCCCTTCTTGGATTCATCCTTTTGTTTTTCACCTTGTTTAGCTTCATTACTTTCCCCATGCTCTGCAGCGTAGTAATTCCTCGACCTCGTCCATCTTCTGGAAAAGGGATCATAACCATCCTCCCCTACTTTCAAATTTCCAGTCACTCGTTTAAGCTCCGACAAATTTTTGAAATTCTCAACCTTATTCTTCTTGTTCATCTCGGCCAGCCTTTTGGCCCTGGCATCATTGTCTCGAGCTTGCCGAGTTGCTTCTAGTTCCTGCAGCCTTGTGTAGATCCTATCCACCTCTTCCTCATTATGATTACTTCTTGCTATTTCTAACTGATTCTTCAAACGGTCCTTCTCCACCGCAACGTTCAGAGGCCTGGCCTTTTTTTCCTCTAGCATTTGCTTCACAGTGGCCGCTGAGTATATGTATGTGTTGGTTTTTCTAATAGCCTCCCTCTTTACCGCTACATCCTGTTTGCTGGGCATCTGGCTGCAAGTTTTCTCTATTTCTCTCACCCACTGTCTGTATTCTTTCTCTAAGGGTGCTGAATCTGATACCACTGATATCTGAAACCTGGCTGCTGAGTTCTCACTTCCCCACACACAAATCAAACGCTTATGTGTCACTCTATTCTCTATCTTGTACTGTCGATCGGGGGTACTCGCATCAACACTCTGGATCATGCAGAGCCTGTACACAGGTCCATGGTCCGATTTTCCGATCCCAATTCTCACAAAACAACCCACGATTAACTCATCAAAGAACGGCTCATTCAACCACTTCGCTAGTTTTGACCTCCTTAAGGTGATCTCATGAATGTCGTCAAATGTTGGGACCTCTGATCCTGTCATGTTTCTATCATCGTCGCTGTCGGCCAGCCCATTGGGGCCCGATGATTCTCTGTCACTGTCAGACCTTATCATGCTCTCACTCTGACTGGAGCTACTTGAACTTGCTTTTACTCCAAGTTTTCGCCTGCCCGACGAAACTCCCTGACCTGTTGAGTTTGTTCTCAAGGCTTTTGATTTGCTCGTTTTACCATGAACGTGGATGCTTTGCTGCTTCATACGCTTGGCTCTCAATTCACTAAGAGCGTCTCCTTTGGAGGCTGTCTTCTCGGCATATCTAGCAGAAGAACGTACCTTGGCAGAGGATGGAAGAGACGATGGAGCTTCTGATTTTCTTGATGGTTGGCTGCTCTTTGCATTGTCCATCTTCTTCAATCTCAACTGCTCTTTGAATTCCTTCTCTCCTTTCTTGGCCGCTCGATCAGACAAAATCATCTCTCTTTCAAGCTCAGTCATTTTGGCCAGCCTCTGTTTGTCGTCTTCATTCTTATAGAGATCACTGCCAACGTCAGATTCGTTGCTGGATTCTGCATCATCACCACCAAGAGCGCCACCATCACCATTGTCATGATCGTGTTGTTGGGGAGGTCTTTTGGTGGGGTCTAACCTCTTCTTTAAGGGGACATGGGATTGAGATCTTGACGGCTTCTTGGTCGAAGCATGAGCATCATCATCATCGGAGTCTTCGTCTCTGGATTCACTTCCGCCATCAGAATATGAGCCCTCGCCTTTAAAGCTTGATTTTGGAAGCGTGTGCCGTTTTTTAACAGGAGAACCGGTCCTTCCGGCTGCCTCCAGTAGCATGTTTTCCAAGTCTGCCATTTTCTTGAACGTATGATAATCCCCTCTTTTTTGTGGGGAAAGGCGAGAGAGTAAAACTTGAATCCAGAACCAATAGAGGTAGGTGTGTGTGTGTGTGAATGGCCGAGTTTCAAACCCAAATCTCCCCTGTTGGGGTTTCGAAAAATATGCAGAGAAAAAGGAAGGGGGCTTCTGGGGGAAGCGTGACAGTGACGTCACGTTTGTAACTATTACAAAGAGAAGAACAGGAAAGGTTAATGAAAGAAGCGCAATTGAAATGAGAGGGGGAATGAATGCCAAACGCGATTGAAATGAGAGGGGGAACGAATGCCAAACCAAAAATGGTGTGCCTCCTTGCGAGTTAGAAGATAGCAACAGAAAGATGCAGCAGTGTGGAATCAGCAGAGGCTTTTGTTGGGTCCGATGAAAACTCCACATTCATAGCACTTTAACCCTTACAGTTCCATATCCTGCGCCACAAACTTTGACTGCTTCAATCTACCTTCCATGCTATAGATACGTACGAGCCATTCTTGTATATCTTTTTCTTTTAACTTTTGCTGAAATATTTCTTGCACTCTTAACAATCCTTCCCAAGAGTAATCACCTTTTTCCTTTTTTTCCAATAAACAAAAGCAACTCCTCAAAACTAAACACTTGCTTTCCTAAGAGTAATCACTTGAGCATGATTTGCGTCGGCATTTCTCAACAATATTTCTCAATATTTAACGTTTGGATGGAAAATCCCCCCCCCCCTCCATTTACGTATTTCACCATTTTCTCCTGTTGAACATATCAATTATTAGATTTAATTTTGAATGATCCAAAATTTAATATTTTAAAGATTTATTTGAACAGTCTAGAAGTGCAGTAAAAAAAATTAAAATAAACATTTTATAACTATTAAATCCAGAGCATTCAGAATTTAATGCAGAGAAGAAAGTGGACAGAATAAATCAATGGGGAGAAGTCAAGTTTGTTTTTTTGCTGTGCGCTGGGTCATTATCGAGCATCTGCTACCTCATTACTACTATCAACTCATCAATAATTTGATGGGAAACATTAATGGTCAATTACTAACCTTCAGAGCCATTAATAATGATTTCGTCTATATATATATGTATGTATGTATATATGTATATATTAGCTCGTTGGCAAAAAAAAAAATCACTTTGTTACCATATTATTTCGAGTACATTCTACCCAGATTTTATGTATTTGAATCCATTTTAATGTTTCTATTCATAACGCCCACGCAAAGCATGAGAGAAAATTTCTTTTTCTTTTTTTTTTTGCCAGTCTAATTATATAATAAAAGTTATGATAGGTAGTACAGCTTAGGATAATTCATTTTTATAATCCTTGTGATGTAAATGAAATTTGTCTAATTAACCATAAACGCTGGAAAGTGTTGGTAATCGATGCTGAGGGCTTTGATACAAGAATTGAAACCCACGAATGTTGAACATAAAACAAGAAAACACTATTACTATTACAAGATGTAAAATTATCAAAATTATATTATTTATAAGTCGTAAATAACATGACCCATTTCATTCACTGTACACTTTAGATTACTCTATAATAAAATTCATGTTAAACATGATTTCTTAGAAGATTAATAATATATGAATAAGATTTGATGAGTGACACGATGGCACTCTAGACACGGATTTTCTCTCGCGTTCAGTGTGATTGTGGAGAGAAAAAGCGGGGTGGTGTGTGGGCCCTTACATTTTTCATACAGTATTTTGAGTAATATTTACATTAATTATAATTAATCGATATTGATTTGAATATGTCGGCCAAAAAAAAAAGATATTGATTTGAATATTTTTATAATTAAAATATCTATAAGTTTCATATAAGATCTTGCGAGTCTTTTTTTTTTTTTTTGGTCCAAAGGATCTTGCAAGTCTGAAGGTACTGAACTTGTCAACCTCGCGATGGCGGTTTGGGATTTGGAGGAGACATTACACTTCCTTCTTTTTGTTATTCTGGAACGCCCTTTGTTTTACTGTTAATCGAGCAAGTACTCCTGCTATTAACTATTTTAGTAAGCTAGTAAAACGGCTGACTCGTATAAATTCCTGGCAATTGGCAAACAATTGTCTTCTGATTCCGCGGCATGATTGGCCAAAGACAGTAATTTGAAAAGGCCAAAAAAAAGGAGAGAAACAAGCTCTGGAGCGAAGAGCGCAAGTTTATCACTAGCAGGATTATTATTAATAATTAAGGATGAAAGCTAGCTGACTTTAGGACAAAGAGCAAGAAGGCAGACAACAAGAGAAGACACAATAACACAGATTCAGACCTCTTTGACTTCCACAGTGGCGTCCACCTCTCTGACCGGCTTGTCTTCCTTCGTTGCAGTCTCAGCGGTGGCTTCCGCTTCCTCAATTACGAAAGCCGAAACTGGGAATGATCTGAATAGCCCTGCCGGTGTCTTGAATGTGATCTTGCCGGTGGGCGGATCATCCACATAAATGTCGCTCAGTGACACCCAAATCAACACCTCCTTCGTCTTCACCCCATTCAGCTTCTTGATCTTTCCATGCTCAACCTCCGCCGTCACCAGAGGCTCGTACGAAACAAGCTTCCCAATCTTCTCAAACTTGTGGGTCGACTTCTTCTTCTGCTTCAGCCACACGAACCCAGTCTCCCTCACAATCCCGCATTCCTCCATGTCTTTCAAGGGCAAAAGCCCGTTGGGCAGACTTATTTCCTTCAACAATTCCTTGGATTTGACTTGGCACATTTCATCTCCATGGTACATCTCTGCTTTCGCTCTGATCTCCTCTGTGATCTGAGACATCCTGTTCTGTTGAGAGTCTGTGTAACAGGCTGAGTAAACGAAATCGTGGGTGAGGAGGAAGGCAGAAGGAATGGGATAATAAATAGTTGGGAAGCAGCGAAATTGCCCTCCAAGATCACAAAAACTCGAAGAAAAGACGTTATGAGAAGGCGGCGAGAGTAGGAATAAAGAGGGGCAAAATGGGGGGACTAACAAGGCAACGTGTTTTCAACTTTCAACGGTCATGGTTGGGTTTCATAAATTTATGGCACATTAAAGGGGGAAGCGGTGGGTTGAAATGAGCAGCCAATGGAAAAGAATCACGCGTAATGTAGTTGGGAGGGTGACCTATTTATTGGGATGAGCCTACGGGCAGCAATCTGCTGCCTCAGACCTACTCTTACCATGCTATTATGAATGACTGTTACATTCATCGAACTACCTCTTCTATTTAACTTTTTTTTTTTCCCAATCTCATCGTAGTCTTTAAGCCGTTGCTTTTACTCGCCAACACAACCACCTGCATTTCTCAAAGCAAGCATAGTATGGGGCATTCTGATTTTTAAGCAATTGCGGTCTAATCACATCCCAAGACCCTGAAAGGAACCAACCGCCGTGGATCCATCCTTTTCAGATGGTTTTCCGTCTTAATCATCTTTATTTGAGTGGATTCTGTTCGCAGGATGCACAACTTGATATTATTATTACTGCCAACATTTTGCATGTTCACTCACTAGAAACTCCAATTCCCTTCCAGAATCATGTAGATTGAAGTAATGCCGACAACTTTAACATAATCAACATTGGGACCAAAAACACCCAAACAACAAACATAAGAACGATGTATACATGTCACAATGCTTAAACAATTGCGGAAAAAAAAATTATTCAAATGACATTACCACGAGTCCATGACAAAGCTATTATTATGATCAAGTTAAACGAACAAGCATGTTTTTACCCCATGAAGCGTCTTTCTAATCATGGGAGAAAATATTGCATCCATATCCAATTTTTGCCACAAGTAGTTCTCGCTAAACCAAGTGTTTTTATTTGTAGGTTCAGATTACAGATTTGCAAACAATCTTTTTCAACGACATAATAGCTGGATGAGGTTCTTACTCAAAATAAGTAACAATTAACCGAATCCATTATCCATCCGCTTTTGTTTTATTTTGTCTTTGGGAGGGAAGGTAAGGCCAGAGACTGGCTGAGGGGTCATAATCAACGCAATAATCTCAAAAACAGAGACACCATCCCCACCCAGAAAAAAAGGCGGGTCTCCAAGTTCACAGCTACAAGAAGCAGTAAACTTGCTGAGCCTCAAATTAACAAGCATGGGTAGTTACGGAGTGGTTTGTTGTTGGTCTTCAAATGTCGGTAGGCGTCCCTGGAAAGAGTTTCCCTTTTCTTCAAGGATTCACTGTCCTGGTTCTTTGTACAATACTTTAACTCTGTGTAGCTCCCATCTTACTGTGGCTATCCATTCCCATTCTATGGTAGTTATTTATCAGGGACTCGACGTGCTTGATTTCCTTAGGAATTGATGCTGTAAGGACCTGCGAGACAGTTCCACAATTTGTTAGAGATTTATAAGATGCATCAAGCATATCAGAGAAACATACTCTACTCCCATTCTATGGTCACAAAAGAGGAATCTAGATGTAAATCAAGATCATTATATAGACCATTTGCTTGGACAGTAGGCCTTGTGAATATGTTACAAACTACTCCCTCCGTTCCTTATTATAAGAGACAAATAACCAAATTACGTTGATAAAAAAAACAGTTAAAATTAGTTGAAAACAATTAATGTGTAAAAAGTATAATGTTTTTTCCAACAATACCCCCATTAATAAGGAGAGAGAATATGAGAAAGAATAATTAAATTATTAAAAGAAAGAAAAGTGGGAGGGAGAGAGAGTATGAGTTGGAGACAAAATAAATAGGGGTAAAATAGGAAATCAATACAAAAAAATAGAGACAACTTTTAAGTGTCTCTTATATATGGGAACATGTCATAAGCATCAAATGTCTCTTATAATAAAGAACAGAGGGAGTATAATACAGGTAGTACAAAAATATATAATAGATGCTAAATTCGACAGCAAAATAAATGCTAAATTACATAAATATCGTCTTATTTCGACCTCTAATTAGAATATTTGACTTCCATTTACTGTGAAAGACAAAGCTAACCCGGCACATTTTATTTTATTTTTTTGATACAAACCCGGCACATTATTATAGCGCTCAAAATAACGGGAGTCAAATCTCCTCCAGCTGCCAGAAATCTGATATTGTAATCTCAATTTTTTAAAATAGGAAAAATTAATTGATGAGATTTTATAAGTTCACCCTATTTTCGTTAATCTGACCTAATGTGGATGTTGACTAAACAATACATAAGCTGTCACAATACACAAAATAAAAAGATTTAAAAATAAAATGAGATGATGGAATAAAATATATTTATTATCAAGATAAAAATAAAAAAATTATTAGACTCATAACTGTCTTCTTACATTTATACACACACACACACACACTTAATAATTTGGTTTATTTTAATTTTATTTAGATCCATGTAGTAAAATTATTACAGGCGTATGCTGAATGAAAACCATGTCATTAACAGATTAACAAATTATATACCTATAATTGAGAAAACTATAAGAACCTAACCCCCCCAAGGGGTGGGTTACAATGACTTGATTAAAAATGATAATTTTAAAGATTTGCATATTAATTTTTTCTTTAAATAAAAAATTCACGTAGAGATTACCTCATAACCTGTTTCCGTGATGAGAACCTCATCCTCAATTCTTATCCCAATGCCTCGATACCTGCATCGCAGATTCTCCGAGCTAAATCAGAACGCTTGATGCCAAGGCAGAAGATAAAATTTCTTAAGGAGTTTATACCACAAATTACATGACACTGATGTTCCGAAGCCAGTGACCGCAAGATAAAACAAGCAGAATAGTCAATAGTGAAAGTAAGGACCAAAAGACGCATCATATATTCATAGTAGCCCAAGAGTACAACTGAAACAGATTAACTTGAGAAAGAAGATTCTCAATTCTCAGGTACAAAATTCAAGATCCAGATGAAGTAGCACATTTCTTAGATGGGAAAATGCGTACGAACACTTCAATCAGTAAACTGTGGAGAATCAAGACAATAAACAAGCTACGAAATTATTGCTTAACAATTCCAATTGTTTGATTTTGGCTTCTTGGTATATGCAGATTCTAAATAAGAAAGAACATAACAGGATAAATTTTCAAAGCCAGTCATACGAGGAGTAAGCACCGGACAGCACCAATTAACAAGACAAATAAACCGAAAGAATTTCCAAAGAGGAGAAACTCTCAAAGCTTCAGTACCAACCTCCTGCGAATGAATTTGCATGATTTGTATAGACGGATATACCAAAAGAATAAGTACAGGACTGTACGAATGCATGACAATTTAATTTCAAGTTTAAGCAAATTTTCTGAAATCAGTAAGCACCTCTCTGGACCATCAAAATGAGATGGGATGTATACTCCTGGTTCAATAGTTATGATCTGCACAAAATAAATGAATAAATAATAAAAAAGAACAAGCTGTTAACTAATATGTGAATGAACGATGTCAATTGGCATGGCTATAGCAAGCAATTATGCAAACAATAAAACTCCTACATGGTCGCCACGTTCCTAGATAAGGAGAGGAAAAAATTGTCCTTTTCAGCCAGAAAAATATCCCCTGGGTGTAATTTTTTAAGACTTCAGTTATATGTAATATGCTTTAGAGGACCTTGAGCATCAATTACTTTTAAACATATTAGCTGGAGATATCTGTTATTCTTAGCTCATCCAATACAAGTCTATCATACTAGGGCAGGAATAAATCTATGGACATGTTAGACAAAGTTCCAGTGGTTAAGCTTAACTGAAAATTAGAAAAGGCAAGAAAACAAAGATCAGCAGTGAGTGAGACAACTTACAACACCTGGCTCCAGAGGACAGTCATAGCTGATCCTTGAACAATCATGAATATCCATTCCTAAGTAGTGACCTGAACCAATAAAAGATGAACAGACACATCCAGTCTGTATTTATCATTTCAAATAATTCTCCTCAATCTTGGTCAGAAAAAAGAGTAGCCAAACTGTATTTGAAGGGATGCTTAAAGAAACCTATAGAAGTAGGGTTCAGTGTATGGTAGGCACTGCTCGGAACACCTCTCAAAATTCCAAACTCCTTGAGTCCTTTCTGGAGCATTTTAACCTAAGCAACCAGACCATTTCAAAAAATGTAATTAAGGCAAACAAGCTTCAAGGCTGAAACAATTAGTTGAATAAGCAGCAAGATCAAGTGAAGCAAAAGCAAAGCAAAGATGCCACTCAAAAACAGAAAGGTCTAGCAAGAGACACTCAAGTCACCAGCATACTCTAATGACTGTTGCTGATTATGCAAAATAGTATGATAGGTGAACCACTAGCAATAAACAGCAGCAATATAACCAAAAACATAGCTTCTAATAATAATGGCTAATGATTAAGAAAAAGGTGCAGTGATGGAGGTACCGAATGATCATGTATTTGCCGAATGCTAGCACCAGGTTTGCAAAGTTGCACACACTGCTTGTTTGTTTCCAATATAAGCTCATAAAGCTCTTCCTGAAACATATAAAAAGCCATGTTATTGGTCTGAAAGATAATTTTAAGCAGAAGACTGTGAGGCTAGCTTAGAATTAAGGCACGTGTTGCATGGATGGCTTTCATCTTAACACGGTATCACGCCATCATAAGAAATTTATATTAGTTAAGAAATGCCTGGAATGAGGAAGTGAACTTAAAGGTCTCTTTACACTTTAAAAGAAGCCATAATGCCACAGTAATGAAACGACTGGTTGATATATTAAACATTTTGAAAATCAGAGCAGAAGTACAATAGATAAACTTCTACTTAAAGATTGACAATCCATATAATTTAATCCTGTCAATCAGGGCTTCAATAGGCAAACTCATTCTGAAGGTGTCAAATTGATGCAAGAACAAAACTCAATGACTAATCAATGAAATGGCTTAGAGAGGCAAAAAATCGTGTGAAAAAGATAGGGTTGCGTAAATAACAAATCAAACTTCTCCAGAACTTCCTAAGATGATAAAGAAAATAAGATAAACATTTATTCAGTGCCGCTGCAATAAATAGAATTGATTGAAAAATTGATTATTCTAACCTTGGCAGAAGAAAAGCTACCACAAGGTGGCCAAGTACGGGTAAGATCACTCGTATACCCATGCAACTCACAACCAACATCCATCAAAACAAGATCTCCATCTTCAATCTGCCGGACGTATGGTAAAGATTCAAAAACAAGAAAATTCCACAAACCAGATGATCTCATTTAGAAAGTGACGGACCTTTTGATCATTCCTAGAATAATGTATAACACTTCCATTAGGTCCACCACCAACCACAGGATTGAACCTGGAAAAAAACCATAGGAAAAACGTTATGCATGAACAGAAGCAAAACATTAAAAATTGCAATTTAAAACTAAAATTGTAGAACAGTAAGATGCTTACGCCATTCGCTGAGCACCTCTCATTTTGCATTCATATTCAAACTTTGCAGCCAGCATACCTTCAAAAGGGTACATCTTTGAGTGCAACATTGTCAACAGGAGAGCCTACTCAAGACCAAAGTATATTAAGAATATCCCCTCACAACTCCACAAAGATTTCTAACCTAGAAATCACCATCAACTAATAGAATCTATGGTCTTATGAAATGGTTGACCATTGATACCCAAGAATCCTCAAGTTGCTTATTATATCGGCATGAAAAAGTAGTTGCAGATATCACATTCATAGGCCATAGTTTAAAGTACCTGGCATGCAATTGATGCAGATTCCTTCATCAACTTAATCTCTGCAGGTGACTTTATCCACCGTAGCTGATGGGTATAAATAGATAGATCCTTTACATTGTTAGAAAATAATAGCTTTTGGAAGGCCTCCAGTTTCGTGTATGCTGGAATTGCAGTCTGAACATTGTGAAACAATTTTGAGGATCCCCTCAACATATCTGAAAGAATCTGAGTCCATCACCTAAATATGTTAACAAAAATATATTTTTGAAGAATAAAAAATAACTGTTTCACCTGGGAGACAAAAATATATCACGAAACAGTAAATAGCCATTCATGTCAACTACGAGCTAAATGGAGGCTGGCATATCACATTCTGGTGGTTTAAATTTTAGGCATATAAGATATTCTTCCTAACTCATACGAAGTTGTAGTGGAACTCTGATAACCAAATTTCGATACTGATAATCATAAGTACATTGATATCAAAGCGATACTTGATATCTATTAGCTACTTATATCAGTATAGAAATTTATGTTTAGCTGGCATAATTGTGGAAAGACTGAATGCAAGCTTACTTCAACTATGGAAGCAATTCAGCACACAGGTCACAATAGATGGCTAGATAACATCTATCTAACATCAAATTAATCTTGATTTTTAATAGTCAATGACACATATGACTCACCTCATGCAATTTTCTCATAGGATATGCCACATCAGCCTTGAATGTATCTAATGCTGAATCAACTCCAGCTATTTGCCCTTGCCAAATCACATCCTATATAAATTAATTTTAAAATCACTTTACATTCAAGATGAGGTGCTGCTTCATTCTATAGTTATAAAAGAAGCCACAAGAGGAAAATCATAGAGGGTGTCACAAAGTAATCCGAAAATCACATACAATATTCACCGCAGCAATTACAGATATCCAAAGCCCCCTTATATAGCACCATGGACCCTTCCTGGCAGCTACTAACTGACATAACAGGCCCTTATAACCAACTACCATAACTACCTTACTAATATGCTACCATAATATCATGGCACGGAGGATAACCACATACATAATGGAATATCAGTATGCATTCTCATTTGATGAATAATTGAAAAGGTTGAGACAATTTCTATAGATGACATATTAGTAATTACATAAACAACATCTTTATTTAAAACAAAACAATTTAAAAATGTTACATGCAATTTTTTAATGCAACAAAACAGTTTCATAATCTAATTGAGAAAAAACTCGAATTAATCACAGAAATTTATTGAGTAGAAATTATGAAGACAGTTTTTTTTTTTAAAGGTAACAAACACACATGAGGCTTAGCTTCAGGCATGAACATGCATAGACCACAGTCATGCCCTAAAACTGCCACACCACCAGGTTGCTGGCAGCCTGTGATATATAAATAGTCAGCATCTTGCCGAAATGTATAAGGCACAACATCCGTCATCATCTTTACAGGGGCAGCCGAGATAATGGCCAAACTTTTCTCAGGGAGAAGTTGCAGTAACTTTTTTCTCCTTAGGATGTATTCCTCTGTAGCTATGCCGGGTGTAATCTCTCCATCTTTCAGTAACTGCAAGGTAAGACAGTGAATGCAATGCTAATTAATTTTAACAAATAAGTGAGCATCAGTGTGTTAGTGTTTGTCTACCTTAGGAAGATTTCATTTATGCATATATTAATTTGCAAAAAAAATGAAAAATACTACGTAATAGCACCTGCGGATGAGATGTAGGGGTCGGCTGTCCAATATCAGCAACAATTGCAGAGCAATACGAACGAGGACCTAGAACCTGCGAGCCAAACTTGGAAAATGCCAAGGAGTTAATGGTACTTGAATGAAACACCAAATCCTTCCACTATATCTGATGGGGGGAAACCGACATACACACAAATACACTAACAACAAAAGATCAAAAGATTGGAAAAGAGACGAGTAAATTTCAAGAGGCTAGAACAAACACCTGAATGCCACAAAGAATAAAATAAAATTTAAATAAATAACAGCATAAAAATGTCATCCAGAGCAGTAAGTATCTGGCAGCGCCACTGATCTTACAGACCTAACGAAAGAGAACAAGAGTTACTATAGAGAGGAAAGAGGGAAAAAATGGTTTTAGAAGTACCTGTTTGAATAAAACCCCCTTTGATAGTTTTCTAGCAGATACGATACACTGCATTTTTGCCTCAGAGCCACCGGCGCGGTTCCGCCCAGAGGTTTTAGGGGTTTAAACTTGAAAGATTCCAAGCCTCCTACGTCCTACCCAAATTAAATTTCATATTACCCCGCATGAATAAAACTTTCCCTCTCTGTGGCGGGGCGTTAGTGTTTGTTAACCGATTTTTTTATCCTTTATAATTTATATATATACATAATTTGATCTGACGTGGTCAGCCTTAAGATCAACATTTTGACAGGAGGAAAATAAATGAAAACCCCCTTTATAATTTATATCTCCCGTAATTTTTTTAATTTATTTTTTCTGTTCACTTTACTTGACTTTATATAATTTTTTTTATTTTCTTCCGAGTTTTTATAGATTTTTTACCAGCTAATATGTCATTGCCGACCCCAACTTTTTCAATTTTATAAGCTTTGGAAGTTTTGTTTCATTAAAATTGAGGGCGTGAAATTTTAAATTATATGAAAGAATCAAAATAAATTTTCTCCCCCTCTTCTCATTTTTTTTCTAAATTGAGTTTTCTTTTTTCAAGAAAGATATTTCATTAATGCGAATAATCACATAAATAATTGAACAGATTTCATCGGAGAAAATCTGTTTCATTTATCCCCCATCCTCTAGACGAGCGTGTTCCGCTAACACCCAACCCGCACATATTTTCTGAACCGTTAGATTGTGCAGACGGACTAGATCGCGGCTGTGGAGAAGCTGGAGAGGCAAGGCGCTGGAGAGGAACGACATGAATTTACTCACTTTGCTTGAGTCTTGAGGTCGGAGCCGGGGTTGTGAAGGCGGCAACTGGCGCACTTTCATCTTGTGTTGGCTGGGATTGAGTTTGGAGTTGGCTTTGAGTAATTGATTGTTCCCTGATTTGCGAAGGTTTAAGACCGGAAGGCAATATGGCGTGGATGCTGCGAATCATTGGGACGAAGTTCGTGTCCACAGTAGCCCCTTCTGCACCTTATTCCTCTAGATTCTTCTCCAAATCAACTCCATACATCGGTAATGCTTCCTCCCTTTCCCAACCATTTTATCTCCGTGTTTCATTTTCATTCATTATTTGATATGCCCAAAACAAAGTATCAGATACTTTTGGTAATCGTAAATGAGGCCCTGGGGATGCGTGAATTTTAGCTTCGTGATACCTGGTCTGTTCAAAATCTGATTTTTTTTTTCTTTTTTAAATCTCTCGCACCACTTAGCCTCAGTCTGCCTGTCATTTGTATAACTAGGGATGAGGGCTTCATTGTTTTCTCGTTGTTGAGTTTGTAGAACTTGGAAAAATAACTCACCTCTAGCCTTCCTAGGATTAGCTATTTTCGAACTAAAGAAATGATCATGCTTCGTTGGTCTTAATGTGTCCTCACGTATGGATAAGTTTTCTTGCTTCATAAGTGGCAGACCTATGGATAGATAATAACCTTGTTATGATGCTTGCTGCTGCAGCGAAGGTTGGAATCCCCGAGTTTCTGAATGGAATAGGGAATGGAGTTGAATCCCATGTTTCTAAGCTTGAAACAGAAATCGGTGACTTCCAAAAGCTCCTTGTCTGTCGCACTCTCAAGCTCAAGAAGCTGGGCATTCCCTGCAAACATGTAATCCCAGTCACATCTTTATTTGCTTTCTTTGCATGCGGATACAAGAACATTCTATCGTTTGCAAAAGCACCTGCTTATGTGCCTTATTATTCATGCACAAATGTCATGTCAATGACTGATTTCTTGTGTCGTTTAAGATATTTCTTAAATTCTTGGGAATTTCTCCTAATACGTTTGTTGCTAAACTTTCGTTATTGTCTGTTTTTTGTGTACAAATTTACGGATTTATCCTACACTTTTTTTCCACTTTTGGCCAGTGACATTATTCAAATTTTAATTTTTTTGTTTTCCCTTCAAATGCCACTTAAACTTGAAAGTTCGGCTTCTTATGAACTTGATCTGTTATGTTTTGCTCCTTTTGATTTGGGATTTGTCTTAGAATCCGTTAGCTTCGTGTTTTTTTTTTTTGGGGGGGGGGGGGGTATAGAATGGATGCTTGCCCAATCTTTCGTAGCAACTGTGCCACTATAACCTTCTTAGTCTCCCTTGAGGAAATATGTTATACTGCAAAGATGTTTCCTCGGTATGGATTGCCAGTATTATTTGACAGTATGATTATGCTCTAGAGCTATGCTTCATGTACTCTTTTTCTTTTCAGCGTATTATTGGATCCTAGACGAATAGGCAACTGGAATCTGGATTTACCTTTACTGAAGGCAATGATAGATGTCAACTGCCTTATTTTGTGCTGCTGCTAAAAATAGTTGTCAATCTCACTCGTGCATATTTTGTATTGCATTCTGATGTTGCATGTGATTTACTGACTGTTGATTGGAAGGAAGTTCCTGGTGACTCCTTTAAGCAATTGTTTGTGCCTAGCACTTAGTAGTAGCAGCACTACAGCATCCTGCCTCTTGATTGAATATGTCACTGGTAGAATAACACGACCTATAAATGGTAGGAATAAGAGAAAATTACGAGGGAATATGGATGTTTCTGTTATGAAGAGTTACTTCCCCCGTATGTTGTCATATGTTGTCTAATGTGTTGACATGTGATCTGTGAGTTGTTTTATTATGTGATGTCAATTTCTCATGAGGATCTGCTGTCAATTTCCTAGGAGTCAGTATGCTCAGTTATTTTGATGTTAGTTCCTTGTTGTATATGTGTACTGGACTGATTTTTAGGGAATTGATGTGAAGTATTATTCAGACATTGTATGGGAGATTAGATTCTCTTCGTAGCTTTTTTCTGTTAGATTCTTCAGACCTAGCTGTAGAACAATAACTCCCTGGCTTGTCAAACAGGCTGCAGGGATAATGACCATTTTATCTTTGGTAGGAATAAAGGTTTTATGTTGTTTTTACTATCTTGTTTTAAGACGCCTTTTGATTGATACTCTTTTTGGACCATGAGAATTGAAATGCGTATGGCCTACACGCAAACTCTTTGTGACCTATAGTTTTTGCTTTGCAGAGGAAGTTAATATTGAAATATGCACACAAGTACCGGCTGGGATTATGGAGGCCACGAACTGAACTGATCAAGTCATGATCGGTTTCTTGATAGCTTTTCTTTATCACACCTAAAGTTCTAGATGCACCAACAAGTGAATGCTGGATTTTGCACGGAAAGAACAAGTCTATTGATTCTGATGCTACCCAACTTCTTCATCCTATTCAGGTCTTGTGGATAGTTTTTTGGGTATATGCGCCATTGAAACACAAGAGACTTGTCCTGGTTGACCGTCTGCGTGGTTGGTCGTTTATTCTGGTGCATTTACTGCATTTGTCTTGGTGTATGACTTGTTTTTAGCAGCTAGGGGGTTGAGGGATTGGAAGATTCCACAATGCTTCATTTATTCCATGATAGCTATGGTAAATTTCAACGAATGCTCTTTAATTTTGCAGCCATATGCATCCCTTCCTAATTGTTTCGTGATTGAACAGATCTATTGACTTCTTTTGTGGCTGAATTATAGAAGTATGATGAGAATATAATCGTAACACTAGCATACTTTATTCTTAACAAGAATACCAAACACTTGGATTGACGGAAGTCGTAATTAATTTGTTGAAATTTAATCTAAAACTCAACTTATGTAAATTACGAGTCCAAAGTTATCATGCGATTAAAACCTGGATAAAATAAGACGTAAACTTTTTATGGTGATTATTACTGATGTTAATTCTTCGTATTATACTATACCAAATGTCATTATATCTATGTATGTATTGTCAAGGTCAAACTCATCGGAAACGGAAGCTTGGTTCCCGTCATTGTTTCTTTGCGTCAGTGGTGGATTGCCCCATTGATCTTCGATATGGTGTTGATGCGCATGAGATATCGATGTTTGCTCAGTCTCTTCAATTTTTGGGGCCTTGTGTGTTGGGTTCGCTCAAGAGAGAAGAGAATTAGCCGAATAAAATGAAATTGACTTGTTTTTCCAGTCTGCACAGAAAGACTAAGCAAACCGATTTGGGAGTTTAAACTTCGCGAATGAAAAAGAAAATATAGGAAAAGCTACCTCCGATTGACTATGCTGCCCGGGGATGGTTGAGTCTAAGCAGATGATACTTTATTAGATAATTAGGCAGGTAAAGGTGCATTCCTTGATCCGAGTGATCCGCGACTTGGGTGAAGGTGTGGTTTGGCGCCTCATGGCACCGATTATGCAGATTCAGAGGACGTTGAATAGATTTCTCTAAACTCTTAGCGCAGAGTCTGAGGACGCCTCCAGGCAAGTGGAGACTACATGTTTTATATTCAAGCAATGTATTACTCCATCTACTCCCCTACCCGAGGTGTCTTTTTTTTTGGGGGGGGGGGGGGAAGAAGGAATTTGGTCGGAAAATTGGAGGATGTTCTATTTCTATTCATGTAATCATGAGGCTGCATAAATTATAGAGGCCAATGATATTTGTATCTCTTTAATTAATAAAAGTACAGATGAAAAAAAAAATTAATAAGGGCATAATTGAGATTTTCGATTTTTAAAGTAATTTAACAGTTTTTCACAACTCGTGTAAGAGAGGGTGGAAGGGGAGAGATTCCCGTGAATAGGTTAACGGCGCAATACCACCCAAAATGATGATGCTTTAGGCTGCAAGGCTCCTTAAGTCCTAAGCTTTAGTTTCGTTGAAATAGTTTGGGTGGGCATCATGTGCGTCAAAAGTGAACTGCAACTCAACTCAACATTTCGGAACCATCGCCCCCAATCATCACAATCACGTAATCCCTTCTTTTTTACCAAAACATAGCCTCGTCTCCCAACCTACTGCTCTCCAATGATTTTCCATCCAATCTTCAAAGGCACATCAACAGACCCCCAATTCAAAAAGGAAAAAAGGCATTCGATTTTTAAAAAAGAAAAAGAAAAGAAAAGACTGGCCCAATGGCAAGTTATACTAAGAGGAGCACATCACAGGTGAGTTCTGATAAATGACATTATTTATGAATTGTGAATAGTGGTATAATTTATTTTTTTCAATCTACAAAAATGATGGATTAAAAAGAGAAGTGAAGAGAAAAGAAGCGTGTGGGTCAGATAAGCTTCCCTACGGAATCAAATTGTAGTTTTTATTGGCCTAATTGGGAATGCGAGGACATGGCTTACCTTTTAAGGTGGGCGGCGAGGACACCTGTTATGAAGCGCCTCTCTTTTATTGACGAGGCTTCAAATTTGGAGGCTGCTTGGGGTCTGTAATAATAAGCAGAACTTTGGGGAGGAGGGAGAAAAGAATACAAAAGGAAGAGGCCTAATGAGTAATAAGGGGCGACTTTTAAAAGGAGGCACATGGATGCATGTGAAATGGGATGAGTGGAGAAATGGACAAAATTAATAGAAAGAGCACAAATAATGTGATTTCTCCAAGCACAACGTAGGCGGTCCCTCGTGATGGGATCGCCACCTTGTCGCCATCTGAATCTTGACAGTTGTGTTGTCAAGCTTCCCCACGTGTCCGTCTTTAATTGTGACAAGGATATATTTGATTTCAGATTTGTTGCATGCTACCGTCCAAGTATTTATGAACAACTGCCCTTCGCTTTTAAGTTCAAATCTACCTCAAAATAGTGTGACCAATATAAATATCCCAGAACTCCCATCTAGTTTTAAGTCAAATACAGGTTTTAAAATGTGTGTGGCCATTAAGGTGGGGGGCCTGTGTGTAAATTCATATGAGCGTTTTTTGTCTGTTCCAAGAACAGAGTGCGGATTGGTGATGAGCTCGACCGTTCTGGAAATAATGCGGGGGAAGAACTTTCGCTGAGGCTCGCATGTGGCGGGAACTGAGGAAGGGAATGGGGACGTTCAGTTGATAACGCAGGGCATCTGAGGCACATGAGGCTGTTTGGATTTGCCCATATCGCTTGGCCCTGTCCTCCATGAATCTTTTCCCCACCTTTCAATCATCAATTCACCTCACTTTCGAATCTATTTCTCCACTAGCATGAGCTCTTCCTCGTTATTTGGTGGCAAGGACATCAACACTGGATCCGAAATACTCTCCTCATTTTGCTCCAATTAAAACTAGGAATTAGTAAACACCTCACTTTTCGACTTGGGTCATTAATTAGATTTTCCATGTGTATGTGTTGTAATAGCTCTGTTCGTGACTATATCGGTTCATAAGCATACGCAGCAGTGGCACGTAGATTTTTCAAGAGTAAGATCAACTCCTGAATATGACAAAGAATTTCTTTAATAACAATTCCAGAATTCTCTTTTGAAATTCCTCTTGCTAATGAGCCCAATACTGAGATGAGAGCATGTTAAGCTCAAACTTGGAAGCATGGAATTTGATTTGCAGGTTCCTCCTGGGAAATAACTCTGGAGTCTAGGGAGTGATTATAAAGAACCTACCGAGTTTCCTTTTATAAGAAAAAAATAAGTGTAAAGGAAAAGAATCAAAGCGGGTATGCTGCGTCTGCTCAATGCTCATATCGGACTCAACAAAAGAATTCTAACAAAAATGAAAAGAAAATGGTAGTGGTGGAACTCAGCTCTAAAAGTAAAAGGAGGAAACGAAAACCATATACACATTAAAATGCATGAATTTAAATTTAAAATCCAATATATTTAAAGGGGAAAAAAGGCAGAAACACCTAAGCCTGCGCTTAACGACGCAGTCGTCATACTCGCCTCCGACGTTTTCACGGTCGAGGCCGCCCGAGCCGATCAGCCGTCGCGCCACCTCCGAGTAGCTCGGTGAGTGCTGTCATGGCTCGCACTTGCATTTCCAAGGCCGAAATATAGTCAGTAGTTTCTTCCAGAAGACTCGGGAACGAGACCTTCCGGCAACCGGGAACCAACCGGCTGAGAGCTCGCGCTTTCCTCTGCACAGCCGGCAGCCTTCTTCTCTCCCTTCTAACCTCTGGCTTCTTCAATCCGTTCGCCGCCTTCTTCACCTTCCTATGCTGCCTCTGGAACTTTCTCCGGCTGAGAGGAGAGGCCAGTATCGCCCGACTCCACCGAGTCCTGCCTTTCGCTGTCACTGCCAGAACCCTGTCGGCAATCTCACGAACATCGCGTCCGGGGCGAGGCTTGGCAGCGGAAGAACTCTGGCGAAGAACGCGGCGGAGAGCTTCAACGAGCTTGGAGGAATAGATCCGCTGCTCTGCCTCTGATCTCCACGGAATCGGAGCGAGCGAATTCTGATCGTTGCTGCCATCATGCTCGATTTTCCTACGCTTTCTCTGATTGCCTTCTTGGTACGTATCTGAACCAATAGGATCCACAATTGATTCCAAAGACGCCATATATTTCTGTTCAAGTTTCTGCAGAGTCAGAGTAGAATCGAGAATAAAAATCCAGGGAAGGAACGCAAGAGAATGGTGACACGAAAAGGAAGGGATGATCAATATAGTTGCTCCGTTGAACGGAGAATACTAGGGGAGAAGATGCTGGGAAAGGAAGGAAGGAGATGGAGAGGGGGGATGGAAAGCAGCGCAGTGCAATGGCTTATCTGGTTTTAAATCAGTATTTGTAAGAAGGGAGGGAAGGGGGGGGGGATGGTGGGGCGAGGGTGGGACTACGGCAGATAAATATTTTCACTGTGGGAGACAAAATTGAAATCTACATGTGGATGTGGGTTAGGAGCCACCTTGATTAGCCGTATAGCATTTGTAAATTGCGGCAATGGCAGTGGAGGTTAAGGCCAGGAAGTTTCCTTGGCGAGGATTAAAGGCCAAACAGTTGAAGAAATGGGAGAGTTTGACTAATAAACAAGTGAAGATTAGAATACAAGGAAAATGGGATTAGAAAATTAATAGAGAGAGGGAAGAGGATGGAGACCTCACATGGGAGAAAAAGTTTAGGTTCGTTTTGATGTTTTGGATTGGACAAGGTGGCTGCCTAGTGGACCAGTTGCCGTCTTAAATTATCATATTATTCATATGCATTCCTAACTAATTCGCCTTGTTTTTCTGCAACATCAACCCCTCACCCTCTTTGTATTCCAAATTTCCGGTCGCGCCCACATTAAAATTCAATGGTCACGGGGAGGCATTAATCAAACACATGGGAGGTCAGTACATTAATCAAACACTTTTATGGGAGGAAATCATGTGACGTCCAAACACTCCCTAATCAGGAATATTAGTATTCCTGCAGCGCTTCCAGATAAGACTAGATTTAGATCCCTCGCTGCTGGCTCAATCATCTTGACCTGCTTGCAAAGATTGAAAGCCAGAGGCAGATTGGGGGGGGGGGGGGACCAAGATAAGGAAAAGATGGAAAGCGTTGTTAGGATAACCAAGGTGTCTAGCTTTCATTTGGCGCAACATAATCGTGATTTGTTTTTCCTTTCTTTTTGTTTGGTTGGCGAATCGGTGTTCGGAGGGTCATGTTATTTTGACATGTACGTTACCCCGCTGGTAAAACTTGTCTTTTCCGTTTTGTATCGTACGAATTCCTAACGGTATCCAATCCAACAGTGCTTCCGTGTTGACGCTCCTTATCCTACGGTCCATATTTTTCTTCATTTTACGGCCGCATGAGCGCCCAGGCGGGGGAAAGAAACGATCGTATCGTTTCTGCCCAAACGGTAAAACCAACCGTGACTGATCAGTTTCACCTTTATTTGTCCCTCCATCCTCCTTCCATCTCACGGTAAAACAATGGGGGAAAATTAATTCCACACATTCTTGAGCAGTGAAAATATATTTCTAACGTACGACAACTTTTATTACACACATAATGCTGAGTCCAAGGCGGAGGCACACCAAGATATCATTTTAATCAAAGGTTGAAAACGGGGAGGATCCCTTGTGAAGGCGAAGGAATGCAAGAGAAATGGATGACACGTTATAAAAGCCATAGTGGATGGAATGGTAGGAGTGACCACTTTTTTGTTACCTTTAGCTTTTCCACCTGCTTCAGGCGATGGGGGATTGGACGTGGAGGGTTTGAAATCTGATGGCATTGAATCAATGAGAAGGAGGAGAAAAGCTGGGGGGGGGTGAGATGGGAAAAAGTGATTGGATAAGAATACGCTCAAATGGAAGGCATGTGGTTGTTTTCATGCCCACTTACTTTTCATTTTTGTCTGTTTCTGCCCAGTCTCTGCATCTCTCTCTCCTTCTCACATGCCAATGCCAAGTGGCCAGGCTTCCTTCCCCCCCGGTTGTTCTTAATTCCCAACAATATCCAATTAATCTCTTCATGTGGCCTTCCCATCAGCACGCTAATCAGCCATTTCTCCTAAATCATGGTCACCACCTACATACCAATATACGACTTTTCCTTCTTTCTTTTAATATGATTAGGTCGCAGGGTGGGGGGTCTGGGGGAGGCATGTGGCATGGAGAATGGAGAGGGAATCTGGAAAAGACGAAGTCATAAACATGCCAGTCTGCTTTGCCCCCTCCACACAGACACACACACTCTCCATTCATTGCACATATATTGTGCTTCTTTTTTTTTCTTTTTTCTTTTTTGGTTTTCTGTTGCGGTGCCCCTCATCGATTAAGGCTCCGTTTGGGTGACACCCCAAACCATGGTTTGGGTGATAAGTCACCCAAACACCCCTCCAAAAACCAAAACCATGGTTTTGGGTCAAAACCATGGTTTTGACTCCAAAACCATGGTTTTGGAAAAAGCAAAATTTTTTGCTTTGGAGAAAAAAGGGAGAGTGTGAAGGCCTATATGATATGTATCTTGTTATTTTTTTTATAAACATATTTTTTATAAATATATTTAATCTTATATTTTATAAATATATACACATTAATTATTTATTAATTATATTGTCTTATGTATTATTAATTATGTTGGTAAAAAACATATTATTAATAATTTTATTCCTTCAAATTAAAATATATCATAAAATCTATTTTTTCTGTAATTATCATATTAACTTATGTCTTTTTTTAGTAATTTGTATATAAAAAATGTTTCTGATAACAACTATCCAAACACTCTCACTTTTCAGAATCACTTTTTTACAAAATCTATTCTTCACAGAATCTATTTTTTCCAGAATCTATTCTCCAGAATCACTTTTTCAAACCACGGTTTGGTTTCATCCAAACACACCCTAAGTATTCATTCTTCAAACGCAGCACTTAATCCAATGGACCGCATGCGACAAACAACATTCTTCGCCCCGCTGTCCTCCTGTTGCCGTCTCCCCAACAGCGCTGCCCTTCCATTAATACGCCCTGTCGTTTCACATTTCACCCATCCACGCCTCAAGCACCCTGTTGCGTCACGAATCTGAGACACAGCGGCTAGTGGGTATTTCTTTTTTTTTTTTTTTTGAGCTGAAGCTAGTGGGTATTTCAAAAAACATATTTTGCAGTGTAAATTTACTCTCTCTCTCTCTCTCTTCCTTTTTTTAAAATCCCTCGGAGTCCGTCAGTGCTGTTGGAATACATCTCAGGATGGCACTGGTTTAGGTCAGTTACTGATTTTGGACTGATGTGTGAATTTGGCGGACGGACTCGAAGATAATGGCGATTGCTGATGTGAAGCTGCGGTGAGTGCTATTTGTGATGACGGTGACGAATGGCGTTTTGATATGAAATTTTTTGAGTGTAGACAAACATCTTAAAGGGTGCACAATCATGAAATGGGCTCCATTTGGCTACATTCTCCTGTGGAGCGAATACTAAAAAACTAGCAAGTTTTATTTTAGACTCTCAACAAGTTTCTAGGACTGGTTTCCGTTCAAATTTTAGTAGCTTGTTCATTTCGTTCCTATAGAAAAAAAATCACCATTCACAGCTGATACGATTACTTTCCGATTCAATAATTTTCTTTTCCATGTGTTTCATTTGCATCGGTACAACTTTATTTTTAATATATTTTAATAGGAATTAAATATTACCAAAACTATTACTATCTTCAAGATTGGTTTTTTTCCCCCCCTAAACATGGGGTGAGAAAAATGAAGACGACTAGTTTGAAAGTTATGAATCAGCCATGCTCTCTTTTCTTTCTTCGGCTAAGAATCAGCGATGGTTCCATCATTATTCTCGTCCCTCGTTTCCTTTTGGCAAGAACCCGTGTAATTCGTCAAATGAATGAAGATGAGACCTGGGAATAAATGAACCAACACGTATATATGTCGTGGTTTGCACCAAACTAAGGACAGAAATTTAAATAAAAAAAAAAAGAGTTACCAGAAGATGTATTAACGTGGGATTTGGTGGAACTAACGCGTTTTGCTCTTGTCTTATTTCATTACTCAATCCCGTTTTCAATCAGAGCTCATAGTCTTCCGGGACCCGAAATGATTGGCCACACCAGACTGCTTATCAAAAATTGTTTCCATATGCCAATTGCAAGGTATATTAAAATGTGTGTGTGTTTTTCTGATTAATTATTGAGGCTGATCTGCCGTCCTCTTCTTTTAATTTTTCTTTATTGAATTGAAAACACTGCGCACGAGTGTCTTCCTTGGCAGCCAATCCATTCCATGCTTATCCACGAAACAACCGCTCTAAGCTTGCTCATATAAATTATGATGAAAAACTTGACATTATTTAATATGATTCAATTCATGCTGTTCTGTTTGCCAGCAGCAGCAGGTGGGACAGCGACTCTTAGACCACAAGTCATAATACTCATCATTTGAATATTATATGTGCAGATTGCAGAACACAAGACCGGAAAGAAGATTAAAATAAAAAATAAAAAAAAACATGAGTGAAAATGGAAATCAAGGAATGGAACATAATGTGGCATAGTAAGGAGCGGCTTATAGACTAAATTAGTGGGAAAACATTGGACCCAGGAATGGAAGCATAATGGAAGTTAGAATACCAAATCACCACGTTGACCTGGCTCTATATATGACCGATCTTTGGCCACTCAATCCCACCTCTCAACTTGCGGTGACGAAACACGGAAATATCTTCTATAAATTTTGTCGCCCTGTATCAAACCTCACTAGCTTGTCACACAACAGCGGAGATAAGGAGACACTAATGTATAGATCCTTTTTTTTCATTGGTTGTTACACACAGCTGTCATTTTATTGGAGGTAATCTTATTCAAAGCACTGTCAAGCACTAAATGTAGGTACTTCTCTAAGTGAAGATTCGAACATTGATTCGTCACTCTGTGAGGGAATGATCCCTTCCGTTATACCCAACTCCTATAGATCAATGTATAGATCTATTAATTTAATGCTACTTTGCATATGTATATGTATTATTTTCTTTATCTTAGTGAATCTGCATAGTTAAACTGAGAGGAATCTGACGGGAGATTTCTGCAGTAGCGTATAATTATAATCATGAAGAGAGAGCGATCCCAATTCTGTTCACTGTCTGCTCTGTTCAGTCACTCGTACACAGTTGATGATACCAAAAGTTCATCATCCAAGAGGCGCATGATCAAAGAGGAAAATCATGCTGCTGCTGCCGCAAACACTATAGATAGTTCCACGAGTAGTGACTAGTGAGAATGATGATGGTAATAGAAGTTAGGAAGAATTAGAATAAGTTCTATACAAGAAAAATAACTACTAAAAAGTCTAATAACAATCTGAACACTAGAGTAGAGAATAATAATTTTTAAAACTTGTTTTTTAATTTTTTTTTTCTTGTAGAGGACCCCATTATAATTCTCCTATAAGTTATAGAAGCTATATCTGGCAACCTTGGGGACCACCCCCATCCCAAAGGGACTCTCATACTCGCCCTGACATTTACTTGTATGGAAGATGCCAGCCCCGGAATTTATGAATTGTGATCGTATTACAGTTTGGGGATATTAGTTTCCCTGACCGTATAGTTTCTAGCAGTTAACTGTATGGTAAGAGTAACAATAGCTTCTCGAACCCTGTGCTGTAATAGAGGCATGGCTAGAAATTAATTTTAAAACACCATGAGTGTAGTGCTTCCATCATAGCCCAACTTCTTTCTTATCACTCATCATCATTTAGTTTAGTCACAGCTTCTTATATCCTCATTATTAAACTTTTCAATCAAAATATGACCAAAGATTTCTTTTTCTTTTGACAAGACTTAATTCTATGATGGTATGGATAAACAGGATATATTCATCATATGCTTACTAGAGAAACTGATAGTAAATATATAAAACCTGCAGTTTTCTCCATTTCTAATCATCATAATTTTCCTGGCCATCTTCAAACACGTGGGAACAATACTCTGAAAAGGTAAAAAGTTGTGAAATACGGCAATATACTTTGTCGCGCAAAATATGCCGCACTTATCTTTAGTTCACACTAGCTGTAATTATGAAGGGACGTGGGTAAATTGAAAGTGTCTTCATCTGGGCTCAATAAGCACCACATCCATCAAACAGCAAGGTGCCTTTCGAATTTAGAAACCTTCTAGTTCTTATTAAAAACTGGTATTCGATTGATAATGTAAACTTATCAGCTTAATTGGCATCTAACTTCATATCAGAAACGACCATCAGAAAACAGCTAAAACCCTAAAGAAATACTAAGTTGCATACAATCTCATCAGTTATTAGTGAACAATATTCTAGATGGGCAAATGTAAAATAGTGATTATATTTTCCTGGATGATGGTGATAATGATAAGTTCATGAACATCTATGTACATCTTCACTATTGCTCTGCTAAAGAAATAATCCTACAAAGTATCAGCCATGCTCTTGATCCTAAGTCAATAAAGCACCGCCAGCATTACTGTTCCACTGTTTTGGAGCAGTTCTTTTATCATCTGATAAATTTCTCTCTCGCATCACAGACGAATCACAATTTTTTTGGGTGATGAATCACAAATAACATGCATTGGCACATTCTATTTATAGATCTTACCAAAAGTCCTTGCATGAACAAACTCCATTCCTGAAATGATGATAGCGCGCACGGTCCCTCATAATGATATCGCGGCTGTATATTTGAGAAATGAGCTTGAAAGCAGAGTGGCAGTCCTCACAAACCCTCAGATTCTTCACAACACGGAGCGTTGTTCCTGGTTCTGTACGAAGGAGTCCAAAAGCAATAGCAATCTTTTCGCTATGCAGACTCAGTGCAGTTTCCTTTTCTTCCTCATCAATGTCAAAGGGAACTTGGGAAATCTTCGGAGAATAGCCTTCCATACGCATCTTCTCCATAATACTTTTCAACATCGAATGGATTTCTTTTGTTTCTGGGTGTGACCCGTCTCCCATTTTAAATTCATGGACTGCACCTCCCAAATCTATCATGGTACTTCCAGGAATAGTCTTGATTCCTCTTTCCTTCATCAACTTTCTAACCCTAGCAACATCATCCCATCTCTCTGCCCTTGCGTATATGTTTGATAATAACGCATAACGACCACTGTTTTGAGGCTCCATATCAAGCAAAATCCACCCCACCTTTTCTCCTAGTTCTACATTCCTGTGTATCCTGCAAGCATTCGCAAGTGCCCCCCAAATGGCTGCATTGGGCTCCACTGTCATAGAACCTATAAACTTCTCTGCCTCCTCTAAAAGTCCAGCCCTTCCCAGGAGGTCAACCACGCAACCATAATGTTCTATCTCGGGCTCAATCCCGTATACTTCTTTCACTGAATGAAATAAGGCTAGACCTTTGTCGACCATTCCTGCATGTGCACAGGCATTTAGAACGCCAATAAAAGTAATATCATTTGGTTTCAGCTTTTCCCTATTCATCTTGGTGAAGAGTTTGATTGCTTCATCTGCCTGGCCATGGATAGCAAGCCCTCCTATCATAGCATTCCAAGTGAAAACTTCCTTCACTGGTATATTCTCGAAAACCTCCCACGCCGTGTCTAAACGCCCACATTTGGCATACATATCAAGCAAAGCAGTCCCCAGTACTGACTCCATTTGAATAAAATTCCTTTCCATATATGAATGAATCCATCGACCTAGATCTAGAGCTCCCAAATTAGCACAAGCAGTGAGCATACTAGATAATATGTACTTTCTTGGCCTTATATTTTGTTTTTGCATTTCGTTGAAAACTTCCAAAGCCTCTTTGAAACACCCTTCTTTGACGTACCCATCTATGATAGCACTCCAAGAAATTTCATCTCTCTCGCTCATATCATCGAACAATTTCCTTGCACTATCAATCATCCCACACTTGGCTAACCCCCTTATCATTGCATTCCAAGATCCTATGTTCTTCTCCGGCATACTCTCAAACACTTCACGAGCAACTTCCACTAGTCCACACTTCAGGTATCCGTCGATCATGGCATTCCAACAAATGACGTCGGATTCACCATCTCCATCGTCAAGAATTTTCCTAGCCTCTTTCACAAGCCCAAATGATGAATACATTTGAATCCCAGCACTCTTAATGTGACCATCCCCACTAAGCCCATGTTTCACCACGTGAGCATGAAATTGTGTCCCTTCTTCCACAGAGCCCGTAATGGCACAAGCCTTGAGCAAAGAAGGATAAGTGAACTTATTGGGCCTAGAATTGAAGACCAGAATGCTTTTATAAGAGGATACGGCCATTTGAGGTTCGTTGTTCTCCAGGCATCCCTTGAGAAGTATATTCCACACAAACACGTTGGGGCTCGGGATTTGACGGAAAACTCTGACTGCCAGGGCAAAGTCGTTGAAATGAGGATTCGCATAGCACTTGACCAAGGTACCAGACACATAATGATCTTGAAAATGCCCAGTTCTGAGGATGATAGCATGAGCCTGCTTGAGATGTTGCAGAGAATGGCTGCATTTGTTATTAAGGATGTCCAGGACTTTCTTGTGCGAGAGCTTTGATGGGAGAGTACTGTTCTGCCCTGCCGCTGAGAGCTCCTCTGGTTTCAGGCCTGAAGGAAAATTTGTGGTTGTGGTGCTCATCTTGACGAGACTGTGTCATCCAGATTCTACCAAAGACTGAAACGACATATAAATGTCAGTCCTACCAACGAAGTAACTTTCATTTCAGGGTGAAACCACGCAGTTAAACAAGATATCGTTCGGTCAAGCGTATGTATTCGTTTTAGCGGATTTCCATGCAAGGCTCCAAATTTTGTCCCTACGAGAGGGGCACACGAATAAGCCAAATTTGAACACCGAACGCATATGCAAGAACTAATCAAGGCGGAGACTTGCATAGTTAAAATGAATATTACTCCCTCTGTTACTTAGACATTTGATGCTTATGATATGTTCTTATATATAAAAGACACTTAAAAGTTGTCTCTATTTTTTTGTATTGATTTCCTATTTTACCCCTATTTATTTTGTCTTCAAATCATACTCTCTCTTCCTCCCACTTCTTTTTCTTTTAATAATTTAATTATTCTCTCTCATATTCTCTCTCCTTATTAATGAGGGCATTGTTGGAAAAAAATATTATGCTTTTTTCATATTAATTGTCATCAACTAATTTTAACTTTTTTTTATCAACGTAATTTAGTTATTTGTCTCTTATAATAAGGAACGGAAGGAGTACTAAACACACGGACACCCTGGTTAAAAAAGGAAAATGATTACGTGTTACAATTTACGTTATCCGAACCAATTATGATTATGATTATTATTACACCCGGAATCTCATTCAGGATCCTCTGACTGCATAAATTAGGAAGGAAAAATTTAATTTTGTGCGTAGTAATTGATGTCCCATCCACATCCTCAGACACTGGAATAACAGGGAGGAGTATGAGGAGTGGCTCAAGACTGGGGAGCGCCATTGCTTATTCATGATTGGGATACAAATACCCTTCATTCTTTGGTTCTCTGCAAATGGGACGCCTTTCTCGTTTCTACCCTTCGGAACTCCTGGGGACAATGCAGGACTTTGTGATGCGTCGTCGCCACTTACATGGCATATTATCAGGCGCTTCCGTTCGAGCATCTAAACAGTGTCTCCTTATAAGTGACCCATCATTACGTATGGAACCAGTTTAGGTGCTGATATGAGCCCCTTAATTATGGGGTCATTTTTTCGTCTGGAAGAAAAATTTGAAACGGAGGCCCATCTCAAAGCCCAATTCCTTCCGAGCTCAATCCGTACAACTACAACCTAACAAGACCTGCCTATATGCATCATGCTATTATCCGCAAAGGGGAATTCACAAAGCAACTCTGTAACACAAGCTGATGTACAAGTCAAAATAAGAAGGGTGGATATTCTACACATATTCCAGCCTGGTTTTTGCTGCTTCAACACTAGAAAAAGAAAACGATGGCTAGCAGCTTGGTTTGAGCAACATATATGTACAGCAACTATACAACTAGCTCCACAAATATCAGCACGCAATTTCTCTTCATACCTTCCACAGCCTTAGACAAAAAAAGCATCCCAAGACATCCACTGAACCCCCAACAACTACTCTCATGCTTCACTTGGGATATATCCCATGTCAATAGTTAATGGCTCTTTGGGTTCTTCTTCGCCCATTGTAAGCTCTAAGCCATCACTGCAGTTAGTCACACCATAGTCACCAAAATCAACGCCAGCCTTGACATTCTGGTCTCGAGTTTTCATTGCTTCCATCAGCCTTTCGTTTTCCTTTTTGCTCTTCTCCACAAACGGCTGCAACAAAATTAACAAAGAGAGTTTTAGGTTCATTGCCAATTCATTCCTTTTTATTCATTTCTTGGTCTCCTCTCTTTTCTTTCCCACATGAAGCCAAATTTTGATGGATATCATTATTAATCTTCAGCCTTGATTTACCTGTCTCTCAATCTCAGTCAAATTCTTCCATGCATCAATGGCCATGTGCAGAATATTTGAGCGAGCAGACGCCTCATTACAACTTCTCAACCGAGCGCATTCCTGCTTGATGAATATCTGATATGCAGTTTTATGTCCCTGAGGAGCACCTCGACGTTTCTTCAATTTCTTGTCATCTGGGGATGCGAGTACCAGCATTTTCTGTTCCGAGAGCTCGCTACCTGCTTTAAGTTGCCATGCAATCCCAAATATTGCATAAATATCTCTGAATTCACTCATTATCTTCTATAAACTCGTCCAGCGGGGGGGGGGGGAAGGCAAGTCAATGACTGATATGATCTCTAAGCCTATTCCATGATAGATCAAAGAACCAAACCTGTCATTTCCTTGCACATCTTCGTCTCCACCTCACCATCTTCATTTTCCGTTAATTCAGATAAACTAACCTCATATTCACGCTTCCTCCCTGAGCTTATGACATCTGTGAGCAGACCTACAGTAACAGGGGAGGAAAAGAACTCTGAGGCTACAAATTACAGACGACACAAACATTGTGCTATTAGGGAATGCCAATCACATAGCAAGAAACTTTCAAGAAGAATTCCTGCATATCAAACACATATGTAATGTACTGGACGTCATTGAAATCTGCAGAAATCGGTGTGTTGGACTTGAATCAACCTAAGGTGGGGTTAGTCACAGCTTTCTGTGCTGGATCCCTGTAGTGGTAGATTTGCTCAAACGGGTAAAGAAGCAGAGCGTAGCACTTTTCAAGTTGAACGGGTAAGTTTGCCTTACTGCCTTGCAACTTTAAGGCAGAAACAAGTTCATCCCATTTCCTCTCTCTACTGACCTGAAAACAATTTCACACGACACAATGCATAGAATCATACCGTATTCAAACATCCCATGCGTATTCACATACCACATTCGAAAAATCCCATGATTGGGGTTAATGCGCTTAACAGAGAGACAGGCCAAAAGGCCCGTGCACATTTCACAAAATTAACCACAAAGCCAAGGTTGGTTTTTTAGGCAAGATATACCTGATGATATCCTCCTCTTCTGGTCACCTCCGAGTAAAAGAGGAACAAGTCCAGCAGAGTTTCCCGGGCATCTATACTGTCGAGTGAATGAGAAAAGACGCGGATTAATCAGGAAGTATAATAAAGCAGATAATTTTAAAAGCATTTCCAGACATAAAACCCAGGAGAGAAGAAGAAGAATAGAGCATTCCCACGCGGTTGATTAGGAACCGAAGATTATAAACCCAAAGAAGAAAGCCCGTTAAGCTGAAATTCCACCCACCAGATCACAGACGAGTAGAGCGAAATAAGCAAATGGGAAACGAAATCTACAAAACAAGCTTAGGACACTAACATTAGACCGAGCCCGAAGGACTCCCACACTCGGTTGAGTTTGTGATAAAAAGTGTCCGAAACACTAGACGGGCCCTGTTTTGGAGCATCAGCGTGATCGATTTGAGGGGCCTTGATTTTAGCCTCGGAAATCCTTCTCGTGTACCTTCGCATGTTGGAGGAAATGTGAACAACTCCGATCGCTTATAGTGACGACAACCCTCTGGGCCTCTTTCAGCGTCACTGCCTCAAAACAAGCAGCTAGTTGGCGACTGATCGCGGCTTTTGCATGGAAAGTAGCAACACCGGGGCACTTCCTACTTCCCACACGAAGCTGCTTCAATGGACGGTCCAGATTCATTTTTTGTCATTTACTTTTTTATCCAAAAATAATGAGAAATATACTTTTTTAATTTTTCAATTTGGCTTTTATGCTTTGACTAACCAAAACCGAAGTTATTAGCGTTAACACGTTAATTAAGATATGACAAGGATATTTTGTTTTGATAGTAGTATTTTGTTCGAACAGTTATATGATCCCTTGATCAAGCTATATATTAATCATGTATCTGTTACGTATCATACGATCATAAATTTGACCAAAACTTCTAATGATGAAGAGATAATATCCAGAGACTCACGCGCGAACATATATAAATAAAATGTTTACTGCTTGCGTGCTAATGATAATCATCTCGCTGTTCTTCGTCAAGCAAAAATCAACTAGTTAAAATTGAAAATTAATCAGTGCTGTATTTTTATCTAACTGAATTGTAAATTACTACAGCTTCACCATATCGTCCAATCTCACCAGACTGAAGGACATTTTAATATGAAGTCCAGAGTAAGGACGAGATTTTTGTGATATTTAAGAGACACAGCATCCAGGTTTCATCACAAAAGAATTGCCAATCTTTAATGATGATGCGGGTCCGCGTGTGATCTGTCCTTGTATTACCCTGTCTGGTGGTGTTATGGTACCCCCCCCCCCCTCTTCGCTCTTTATATTTCTTCAGCAAGATGATAATCTCAATGCAGTATCAATAATATAAAATATGCTGGCAAAAAAACATCAGTAATATGGAGGGGGAAAAAAAACATTTTCTGTAAATATATCTGTGATCCAGGCCCAAAAACAAACGTATCTGTGATAGCCTAACAGACCAACTTAGAACACGAAAAGCCCAACATATTTTGGGCATGAAAAAGGTGAAGCCCAGAAGATAAATATCTAAATTGTCTGATTTCAGCGGCCGCCCCAGCGATCGGGATAAGGTGATTCCTTCAGGCTTCCGGAGAAGTCTCGACAGTCTCACGTTCCGTCTCTTCACCTATGCCGTTTCTTTCTCATGGGATTCTGCTACGTTACGATGCTGCATGCCACAAAAACGCCTCGCCCCCAAACTCGTTTTCTTTTAACAGGGCGTATTTTCAATTATAAAACATAATTATAATTCTCTTAACAATGCATAACAAGGTATTTTCAATTATAAAATAATTAAAATACAATTGTTCCCTAAAAAATTAAATAACACAATATACATACTTATGTAAATTTTAGAATTATTTTTTTTGTTAATAAAAATGTAAAATGTATATCTAAATTTAATCTCAAAAGAGACGTGATTAGTCCCTCACCCATAAAAATTGAGACGACTAAATATGAATATCCATGGCTTAAGCAAGATAAATTTGTAACGCAAATCAAAACGAGCGTGCTGAAAGCTGAAACTTGTATTGTGGCTGCGTGTAGGGATGGGACAATAGTGCCACGTGGATCCGTCTTGGATCCAGCCCGAGGGTTGGGTCACCAAATCACAGAGACAGCGCCAGTTGAACTTTCCGCCTTCAAGGCTTGCACCAGCATAACAGCGGTCAGTAAAGTCAGTGTGACGCTGCCAGCCAAGTTCTTTGGGGAAAACTCTATCGCCAGGATAAGATTGCCTTCAAACGCTCACTACGCATTATCCATTTTCTCTGCCTTCGAGACTCGGTTGTTCTTCCTAATCTCGTCTTCACTGAAATCCCATCTCAAGAAGAACAGCCGACCAATATATGGTTGGTGTGTTGAGGAGTGAAATTTGACCTGAAAAAGCTGTGATTGTGGAGAGTGCTGAAGGATTTTCGTAGATTTTCCTGGACTGCATGAGTGAGTTAAATCCCACAGGGTCCTTCAAGTTTAGGAGCTTGAAGTTTTACAGGCAACAGCGTCCATGGTTATTGCTACGGCCGCCCTCTCTAGCTATTCTTTCAAATTTTCGGTTCGCCAAGCTTCTCTATCGTCGCCGTCTTCTGCTCGAATTCGCCATCGCTTCCCTTCTAGCCGATGGTTGAACTTTAATCATCCTTGTGCCTCTCAAAGGTACGCCCTTTCTTCGGGATTAATGCTCTTTCATCCGTTTTATTTTTCGTCAGATAAGATACCTATCGGCGAACCGTTCTTCTTCTGCATCGATGGACAGAATCATCACATTTTTTGGAGGCCAAAATAGCATTGTAGATATTGTTCTGTATGATAAGTCTACTATCGGGCCTGATTCTATTTTTCAAAGCTTCCAATAGGATTTGTGTAAACTACGGATAGTTAACAAAAAAAAAAAAAAAAGGAAGCTGAGTGAGGATAATTTGGACTTCATGAATAATGAAACATTACTTGATTGTTGGTATTGTGTTAATACGTCTTCTTAGAGTACAGCTCAGGTTCAAAAGAACTGGGATTTTGCGTGCGCGACTCTGAAATAGTTGTTCAAGTATCAAACATCGTTAGAACCTCTCTCATTGCCCCCTTTTGGTTACAGGTTTGACTGTTTAAGTACAAGATGTTCAATAACAGATACCGGTGTACAATTGGATCAGGTCCCAACGGATGAGGCCCAAGGAGAGCCATCAACTGTTAAACCTAATTGTCCGGTGCCAGTAGTTAAACTCAACTCTGATATTCTTGAGACTGAGCCCCTGAATCTACTGACTGAAGGCACATATGTAGATAGTCTCTTGACGGCATTACCTGTATGCTATTTTCTCCATATATAGTATTCTTGAGTCTAGCCTTAATGTTTGTCGTCTTAATCTGGTCTTCTCTACAGGTTTTGTCGGAAGAGGAGCAACATGTCCTTGCTGCTACACCAGCTCACCCAGCTGCATTATATGGTGAGACGCCTCCTTAGTGTACAAACTCCAATGAAGTCGTTGTGATGCTTGAGTATGTTGTGATATTTCTCATATTGAGTAAAAACAACTGAAGTTTCCTTTGGTGAATTAAAACATGGTGATTATGAGTCCTTAACTGTTTCATTATTTTTGCAAAGGCACATTGAACAAAACTAGTTTTATCGTGTTTGAATTCAGTAGTTATTTCTTTACTTGAATTGCATTAAACATACCAATCATCTTGAAGAGATGGAACTCCTGTCTGTTGCACTTGAGGAAAGTTATTGATATCATCCCTAGCATCACTGTCTAGCCTCCACCTTCTGTTGGTCAAGTTGAACCTTGATTGTGATCTTATAGTGTGCCATTGCGTCCTAGAGATAGTTGATGGCCATTGAATCTTGTTTGATAATCTTATTCTGCATCTTCTGTTCTGGACATCTACTGATGAGTTTGAAGTTGAATGCTTGAATTATCCAAGCAACTGTTAACTTGAAGGGTATATGTCTTTCAGCTTTCTATGCGAACTGCATAGCTGGAAATTTAGTTGAACAGCTTTGGAATTTCGCTTGGCCTTCTGCCATTGCCTTGATTCATCCGAGCCTTTTACCTGTTGCGGTAATGGGCTTTTTCACCAAAGTTGCTATAATTGTTGGAGGTCCCCTGGTTGGGAAATTTATGGACTATTTTCCCAGAGTACCTGCATATAACTGCTTGAATATCATTCAGGTGAGTCTTTATAAGCAGTACAAAGTCCAGCAGGATACTATAATTCCGGGGAAAAAAATCATTTTTATTATATTTTCTGTTGCCAGGCAGCTGCGCAGTTGCTTTCTGCAACGATGATTATTCATGCCCATTCTGTTCGTCCTACCTCAGTGACTTCCATGCTTCTATGTCCATGGTTTGTTGTATTAGTTTCAGCTGGGGCTATCGAAAGGCTATGTGGTATTGCAGTGGGGGTTGCAAATGAACGTGACTGGGTTGTATTGGTAGTTTTATAAAGAGCTTCCCTCATTCCCTTTTTTCTGACTTAACATTCTGTTAAAAAATATTGCTCTAATCCTCATCGTGCTTTCTTCGACAGCTGGCAGGAGTGAATAGGCCAGTTGCACTTGCACAGGCAAATGCAGTACTAAATCGAATTGATCTCGTGTGTGAGGTATTTGATAGCTATCCATATGTTCATTCTAAGTTGATCAGCCAGCGTATACAATTATCAGTTCTCACTTCTTAGAGCACAGAATCAGTTCTACTGTGTAGGGAAATTTGCAGCTGCTGTTTCACATCATTTTTAGGAGCTTTGACCAGGAGACTAATGAAATGTGAATTTACAGATAGTTGGGGCATCACTTTTTGGAGCTCTTCTTTCTAAATTTCATCCAGTGATCTGCTTGAAATTTGCTGCTGGCTTAATGATGGGATTGCTTCCTGTTACAGTAATTTCTTTGCCTTATTTCTTCTATTGCTACTTTTATTGGTTGGAAGATGGATTTGTTTTCACCCTTCATTCTAAATTACAGATTGCACTCACATGGTTAGCCAACAAGCTCTCCACTGGTGTTCTTGACCGGTCTAAATCTTCACAAACTTGTTGCAGAGTATTTACTGAAGATTCTGGGCCAGATGCGTGCAATATAGGTATCATTTATAGCGATAGTATTTTGTTCTATTACAAAAAATAAAAGAATAGTTTCTTTGCTGGATCATCTCATCATCTGGTTTTATCAGATTTTTTATTTTTTTAAATTGTCTCCTGGAAAACAGTGGTTAAAGGTGTAGAAGCCATAAAGCTTGGCTGGAAGGAATATCTGGGCCAGCCAGTCCTTCCTGCCAGTCTTGCGTGGGTGCTCCTGTACTTCAATGTTGTTCTTGGACCAGGAAGTTTGATGACTGCGTTTTTAACACAGCGTGGTATGTAAAATATCCTTCATCAAACTCTTTCTCTGGAGAAGACTTTCTCATCTAAGTTCTGACGGAGCAAATCTTGCAGTGCAGAAAAGAGTGAAACATTGAAATTCAAGTTTATAAAGAGTGATGTCTGTTTCTCATAATTGACTAAGAAATTGCCTTTTTGAAAACTTCTGTTGTCAAACCCTAAAAGGAGTTACTCGTGCTTGTTCATAAACCTAACAAAGTATATACCCCATTTTGTGAAGCGCCACCTCTGATTAATGCTAACCCCAGCATATTACTTGGATTCTTCAACAGGATTACATCCCTCTATCATTGGAGGATTCAGTGGATTGTGTGCTTTCATGGGTGTTGCTGCGACATTTGTGTCTTCAACTCTGGTCAAGCAATTCGGCATTTTAAAGGTTGCTTCTTCAGCTTCTTTTTATTACATAATCAAGGATGAAAACTTAGTATACATGCAAAAAAAAAAAATTTCATTAAAAAGAAGGCTTTTTCTTATCCAGGCTGGGGCAGTAGGATTGGTGTTTCAAGCTTTACTTCTCATCATGGCTGTAGCTGTATATTGGAGTGGATCAATTTCCCAACAAAGCCCACTTCTTTTCTTCTTGTCCCTGATTGTAAGTCGTTTTAATGATTTTATTATGCCACTGTTCATTTATGTTAAAGCCCATGAGCCGGGTGGCTTACTGCAGCTCAAGAGCCTGTATGATGACAAGTGGATATAATTGATGGAGATCCAAGTTCAGTACATACTGAAATAGTTTCGTAAACTGTAATATGAAATGTAGTTAGTTCTGATGAAATATTTAACGTGATCCTCTGAATCCTCAATTTGAAATACTATGCGCGATTGTTGGCACGCCAGAATTCGACCTGTGTCAAGCTGTCTGAAATTCCCTATCCCAATGTTTTATTCTTCACCGAGAGAAGCTCTCTGCTAAATAAGTTGCAACATATTGTTCACCAAGTATTTTTTTATGTGCCTCTGCATGCAGATATTGTCACGGTTAGGACACATGTCATATGATCTTGTTGGCGCTCAGATTATTCAGACGGGGATCCCATCATCCAAAGCAAATCTCATAGGGACTACAGAGGTTGCTGTTGCTAGTTTGGCAGAATCTATGATGCTGGGAGTTGCCATAATTGCAAATGACCCTTCACATTTTGGGTATTTGGCAATGTTGTCTCTTCTATCTGTGGTTGGTGCAGCATGGATGTTTTGCAGATGGTTGTTTAATCCAACAGATGAACAGAAAACCCTTTTTTCTTATGATCCTCAATTTTGATATTTTTGTAAGTATCCACTTCATTTATTTTTAACTGATTTCTTGGCATACTTTCTATGTCGCGTTGTATCCTTATTATAAGCGTTGCATCTTCTTTTTTCTTTTGGCAGTTGTTTGTTGCGTTAGCTGCCCCGATTGATGCAAAGGTCTGCTGACGTTGCCAAAGGCCGAAGTTAATGTATTTAAGAATGTGGGCGATTATTTATGAGGTGGAAGAAGCCTGAGGCTTTTTTCTTCCATGTGATCACACCATGGTATAGATAGATACCCGGCTTTACTTGTAGATGTGTAAAATGCCCTTCCGTCAAAAGAAGATGTGTAAAATGCCCCGTACAAATCAGATTGTCTTAGTAGGACCAAACATGCGACAAATGTTTTGGAGAGAATTTGTTGGTTCAACGGTTTCTTGTTTATTTGCTTAGTAGTTAATACTCTTCCCGTCTTTAATATAAAACTTAATTATTGAATTGATTTTGGTTTTAAATATCAGACATATTTTTTATATTTATCAATTTTTTCTAAATTACTCTTATGGATCTTTCTCAACCATACAAAGAAGGAGAAAAAATATTAAGGAAAATAATTATAGTATTTTAGGAAAAAATATATTATATTTCTTATAATTAATTAATTTAACTAACTTTTTAATCTAATCAAATTAGTTAAATAGGTTTTATATTAAAAGTCAGAGGAGTATTACATTTTTTGAGCTAAATAAGATGTTACAATACATGATTAAAAGAAAAATGCAGATAGTTAATTTAACTAATTTTTAATACTATTTTTTTAATATTTGTAAATTAATTAGAGCATTTCAATGAACATCATGGAGGAGTCTTAAATGTAAGACTCATTTAGGATTGGAGGAGAATTAGGGGGTGTTTGGGAAGTTACAAAAGTACTTTTTAAATGTATTTTTTTATAAATCGAGATAATATTTTTCATATATTTGTTTCGTATATGGTAAAATCATTTTTAAAACTATTATTTTGTTTTTATATAGACACATTTTTAGTTACGGATGGAAAACTACGGACGATGACACTGTATAGCATCTGGCATTAGTTTCTGATAAAACTCTGCATGTGAAATTTGGCGATGCTTCATTCAAGACGAGGAAAATTTGACGCTTAAGTAACCTTTTTTTTTTTTTTTGGGGGGGGGGGTGTTGCCCAGTTGCCGGGTTGCATGACAAGTAATCGTGATGTCCAGGTTTCATTTCTCATTTTCTATTATGGTGGAAAAACACTTTTGGGAAATGTCATATCCACGAGGCCGCCCTACTCACGCCTCCTTCTTGTAGACTTGTCCCCATCCACCACCCCTTGTTCATATCTCCACTCCACCAGAAATTGTTTTAAAAATGAAATTGGTGGGGGCAAAAAAACATTTGAAGAACATTATGACGCCACTAATTAGAAAATCAGTAGCTACTTATAAGTTATAAGTTATGATTTCATGTTCATTTTATGAAAATGAATCTTTTGAAATGAAAATTCAGTAAAGTTCTTTGAAATAATCATGTGTAATTCTTGAGTTTATTGCGAGTAATGACTGCTCAAATTTTACACAGCCTTGGATAATACTACCTCTGATCCTTAATATAAGACCCCATTTGACTTTTTGTTTGGTTCTAATTATAAGACCCAAATCCATTTTGTCTCTCATATTTATACATTTTTTTTTCAAGATAGTCCTTCTAATAATGATAGTTTTAGCCAATACACTTAATTAGCAAGGATATTTTAGGAATGACAACACTTATTTATTACAAATAACTAACTTAACTTACTTCCTTAATCTCCTCAAATAAGTCAACTGGGTCTTATAATTAGGACCGGAGGTAGTAATACTTAACAACACCACATGATCCAACTCAACCCCCGGCTCGCCACGCAACTAGAAAGGGATCGTGATTGGTGTAGTGGTAACACTTTTCTGCATCTTGCAAAGCGGCTCGGGTTTTCCCAGAAAGACTGGAAAAAGAAAGAATATAATGGTGAGTTCATAAAGAAAATAAAGTCTTTAGCAGCTGAGAAGGCGTGCGCATGAGAGAGGTCGCCAAAAATAGCAAATAGTATTACTAAAGCAATGTTGGCCCACAGTGAAGGAGAAGGGAGCGTGATGCTAACATGGTAGACCCGTTCTTGCAGCTTCTGTCTTCCGTACACTCTAATCTAAACACAAAAGGATGTATCTTCGTTACTCTTCTTCCTTTTACTATGAATGTAAGTCCTAAATCCTAATATTACTCAGAAAGCAATGAGGGTTTTATTGCAAATACTATGTCACAGACATGTACATGCATATACTTCCAAAGACTGATTTAATTTCATGCACCACTGTACGGCCATCGTAATAGGTTGCCACATATGACATTCAGTTCGGAATAATATTGATAAAAGTACTTCGATTCAAACCAAGCCTTCTAATAGCAAGAGGTAGGGGATTAACAACTAAGAAGTACTTCCTTTGCGTTCAAATCAACCTTATCATGAAACGTCGTGATCAATAATTCAATATATATTTAATTGTGATTATGCCTCAAATGAGATTAACTCATCAACTGCAGCCAGATAGGGTACCAAACATGATTAATTATGTGTAAAATACGGAAAGACTAGCTAATTAAGTAATTAGCTTAAAGCTACGGGAGAAATCCACGTCGATCATCCCGGGGAACGCGCAATCGAAGAATAACCAAACTGAATTCTTCATGATAATCTCCGTATAATCTGACACTTTCATGATGAATTCCAAAGTCCCTCTCTCCTTTGAAGTGTGAGGTAATTAAAGGTAATGGGACGGATTCAATAAATCACGACGCTAGACAATGTTAAGTTACTTCGACCTCATTGGTAACTTCTTCCTCCACCTAGTTCTATTGATAATAACAGTTCGTGGAAAACTAACGTTATCGCTATCATTCTTTTTATTGCTTGAAAGAAAGGTGGATCAAACGTCGTCGTCTTCTTGCCTTGGGTTGACAGTGGAAGCTGTCTGGCTGCAAGAGACGCCACCGGCCACCGCCAACTACTCACATATCCCCACACACACACACACAATCTTAACAGTAAATGATTAAATATAATCTTCATGAGCACCCCTCTAAGTGCTAAGACAATCACGTTAATCTGACTTTCACTTGTTATCCAAGTTACTTTACAGCTGAACATCCTTAACAGCCATCTAAATTCTTGTGCGCGTGGGGGACCGTCATGCACACGACGCCGAAATAAAAACTTTTCCGTATTTGGTAGGTGGTGTACATAAATCGGTTAGCTGTAGGTACAGAACATTGTATTCCGGTTTAGCAAACTTAATGTAGAGCTAAATTCCGGAATCGACAGGAAAATGCTCTGATTGGATTGGGAAAATGATTGTCCAAATCAGACAGGAGATCAAGGCCCAATTAAATTGACTTTTACACCACTCCAGTTGGGTTAACTGGGTCCCCGTATACTTTTTTGAGACATACAGTTACCTAATCGACTGAACGTAACCTTTTGATTCAGTATAAGAAGCAAAGTTTTGCTCTGACGAGGCACTCCACTTCAAGTCATTAATGAACTTGGAGTTATACTCCTAGTTCTGTTCCATATCGAGTCTTCAAAATATACACACACGCGATTCGAGGATATGGGTGCTTTGTTTCGTCCACCGGCTGCATATTTAGGAGCTTTTCTTCTGGCCATCAGCTCCCTTAGCTTCTTCCCTGACATTGTGGCTGCAAAGCATGGACCAATAACAAGACACTACACATTTAATGTATGCTTCTTAATCTCGAATAGTCATTACTAGTATGATGATTTAACAGTCATTTCCTCACAATAAGTAAGATTTTGACACCATCTGGTGTTCAAATCTAACAGGTAAGGATGCGAAACGTGACACGGTTGTGCCACACGAAGAGCATGGTAACGGTGAATGGAAAGTACCCTGGGCCTCCTATCGTTGCTAGAGAGGGAGACCAAGTAGTGGTCAAAGTGGTTAATCATGTTCAATACAATGTTAGCATCCACTGGTGAGCACTATATATAGCTTTTAACACTAACTTGAAATGATTCTGATCAACACATATATATTCATGCTTTGACTACTGTTTCCATGCTGGCGACAGGCACGGGATTCGACAACTTCAGAGCCAATGGTCAGATGGACCAGCATACATAACTCAGTGCCCAATCCAAACTGGCCAGAGCTACGTTTACAACTTCACAATAATTGGCCAAAGGGGTACTTTGTTTTGGCATGCTCACGTCTCATGGCTTAGAGCGACCCTTTATGGACCCATCATCATCCTTCCAAAGCCTGGAGTTTCTTACCCTTTTGCCAAGCCATACAAGGAAATTCCCATCTTGTTTGGTACAGATTAAACCATACCATGCACCTTCACAGATAATGACTCAACCCCTTTCCATTTCCGGATGCTAAGAGCTTTATTTTCTAATTTTATCGCAGGTGAGTGGTGGAATGTAGACACAGAGGCAGTAATAAGCCAAGCTCTTCAGACTGGTGGCGGCCCTAACGTATCTGATGCATACACCCTGAACGGACTTCCTGGTCCGTTGTATAATTGCTCTCAGAAAGGTTTGTGTATATATGTAAAGTTGTAGAGTAGTAATACTTACTACCAAAACTCTCATTTTAGCTGAAAATTATTGAAGTCCACCTGTGCTTTCTTCTTACAGAAACGTTCAAGCTGAAAGTGAAGCCTGGGAAAACTTACCTCCTACGATTGATCAACGCTGCACTCAACGATGAGCTCTTTTTCAGTATAGCAAACCACAGCCTCACAACTGTGGAGGCCGATGCCCTGTACGTCAAACCTTTTAAAGCCAACATACTGCTCATAGGCCCAGGGCAGACCACAAATGTCCTCTTGAAGGCTAAACCAAACCAACCAAATGCCCGTTTCCTTATGGCAGCTAGACCTTATAACACTGGCCTTGGGACTTTCGATAATACCACCACCGCAGGTGTTCTGGAGTACGAAGGCACATCAAAATCCTCTCCCCTAATCAGACCAACCCTCCCAGCCATAAACGACACTTCATATGCTGCCAATTTCAGTTCTAAATTCCGCAGCTTAGACAAGCCACAAGTCCCTCAAACTGTAGACAAAAGCTTTTTCTTCACTGTCGGCCTCGGAAGCAGCCCGTGTCCTAAGAACCAGACTTGCCAGGGTCCTAATGGTACCAAGTTCGCTGCTTCCGTGAACAACATATCCTTTGCAATGCCCACTACGGCAATGCTACAGTCCTATTATTCCAGGAAATCAAATGGGGTTTTCACCACTGATTTCCCAAGCCGTCCTTTGATTCCTTTTAATTACACGGGCACCCCACCCAACAATACAATGGTGATGAACGGGACCAAAGCGGTGGTGCTTCCGTTCAACACGAGTGTGGAATTAGTAATGCAGGACACAAGCATTCTTGGAGCCGAGAGCCACCCTCTCCATCTCCACGGATATAACTTCTATGTGGTGGGGCAGGGTTTTGGTAACTTCGATCCCAAGAAAGACCCAGCTAGCTATAATCTTGTGGACCCAGTGGAAAGGAACACCGTGGCAGTGCCATCTGGTGGGTGGGTAGCTATTCGTTTCTTCGCAGATAATCCAGGTCAGTATATTACACTGCTCATTCAAGTAATTATTAGTCGGACCGCTCCAAAATGCTGCGATTACTGTTTCATTAATTAATTATATTACGTTTTGTGATGCAAATGAACAGGAGTGTGGTTAATGCACTGCCATTTCGAAGTGCATCTGAGCTGGGGGTTGAAGATGGCGTGGATTGTGCTGGATGGAAAGCAACCGAACCAGAAGTTACCTCCTCCCCCCGCCGATCTTCCCAAGTGCTGATTCTTTTTAAGCTTAACCCTCAACTTCAACCATTCCCCAAAAACTGATGCCCGTTTGCCTTTCATTTTCCTTTTCATTTTTTATGCTGTTTTCCCTCTCACTCACCATATCTTCCGGAGTTTATCGATCAGTCGAAGAGATTGTTCGTAGTTGATATTGTTTTTGTGTTAAACTTGAACCAGAAGCTTCTGTACGAAGCATTGAGTGTAATAATTTGCGAGGAATAAAGTTACACCGTCGTTTGCTTTCTGTTTCTCTCTGACTCTATCATGTTTTTGGACAACAAAACTTATTTTTTCAGGCAGAAAAAATTTATATCAAATAAAATATTCTATCGTTAGAATAAAGTCCGTATCAAAGAAAGCATTTTATCGTTAGAACAAAAAGATTAAATATACCTATAAATTAATAATTTACGCCAACGCTTTATTGTTTGCATGCACCTTAGTCTTGTCTCTTTTATAACTTTTAACATATTTTAATAATATTAGATATTAAAATGTCAGAATAGTTTAAAAATAAATCATCATATGCATTTCACCCGGGAAAAAAAAAAATCATAATGTGCATCCTATAGGAAAAAATACCTTGGCCGGGATATTTTATTTGGCGGAGATCTTGGCCGGTAGAAGATGGGTCAATTTAAAAAATTAAATTAAAAATATGTAACTCTCTATTAAGAAGTATTTGGACCAAATCATGATTTCTTTATATGTTTATACTTGGAGGAAACTTGTCATTTTCCCGTTGGATTTGAGGATATTAGTTACCTAATTTATTCAGGTTAAAATATAAATCTGCCCCAAAAATTTTTAATTAGAAATATTGGATACACAGAAACTTTTTTTAATATGAATTTGCCTTAAAAGTTTATACTCCTTATTATTAAAAATATTAATGGTTAATAACACAATTTTAAATGTCAATATTAATTTTTTAACAGTAAGAAATAATATTATTATGATTTTGAATTTTTGGATTAAATTTGCATATTAACTCTAATTTATTTCTCAGTATTGAATTTTTTTCATGAACATTGAACAATAAATAAAATGAAATTTTCAAAGATATAACACTTTTATATATTCATATTATATTAAAATGCATGATAAAAATCAAAGGTATGGGAAAAGTTACGGCAAATCCCATAAAATATGTGAAAAAACGTAAAGGATAAAAGAAACCGTACCAATCACTATTAATGGATACTTGGCATGAAATTCATTGTCCCCCGGCGCAACTTGCTTCAAGGAAAAGTGAAGACCAAAACCATGATCATAAGTTTTGAGGCCCAAAGTTGGGGAAAAAGGTGAAAAAATTTCGGGCTGGGCTTTTGGGGGAGGGGAAGGAAGGCTAGGCTTGGTTGAACGCTAATTCAGCCCATTATTCTTTCGTTCTCAAAAATGGCCTGGTCTGGCCCACAAAAAACTATCTTGAAGTTTCTTGGCCCAAAATCATTTCATGAGTTGGCCTTTTTGAGGAAAGAGACTGCGTTTGGACTGGACGCTAATTCAGGCCATCATCTTTTGTTCATAAAAATGGCGTGGTGTGGCCCACACGAAACTATCTTGAATTTTCTTTCCGACACACTGAATTTGTAATTTTACGATAAAAAATCATTAAAATAAAACAACCCCGCCCCGGCCGACGGCGCCAGATGCTTCGAGCCCGAGAGTTGGCGCCTCTGTCCGGTTCATGGTAAAGTCTCGCTTCACTATGCAGCGTCCCCCCTCTCTCTTTCTCTGATAGTAGTATCTTCACTCTCTTTCCCCCAACAGACGCCCGTGATTCGTCGATGCCGTTGCCAACGGCGTTTTATTATCGCATCATACTGTAGTATTTTCATTTCTTCCTCGTATTTTTTCTGCTGAATTTCGCTACTGCCGGGGCATGGTATTAGATTTACCTCACCTTGCCATAGTCTGTTGATTACGATGCATTGCACTCGATTTCAGTTTTCATTTAAACATTCAACTATCTGCACTATGATCAGGAGTCACTTTTCTTCCTCTTACTTTTGCAGGATTTCCAGGGATTCTTAAATGACTTGCAAGATTGGGAACTTTCTCGGAAAGACAAAACGCGAAAAATGAAGTCGCAAGCACTGCAAAAGGAAAAAGTTGGTAATTTTCTTCTTATCTCAGAAGATTTGCGAGTTGTTCTCAGATTTTTTTGTATTTTATTTTGTGAACGAAAACCAGTCATCTAACTATTTCCTTACTGGACTACTATCATTTTGCTGCAAATCTTTTTTCTACGAGTATCAATTTAGGCCTGTGCTGTCGAGACTCGAGTAGAATTGAACAGGCAATCAGATATTATGTTTTAATGAACTTATCGTATCTATTTAGGCTCCACTTTCTTTAGAGGTACTGTTTTTAACTTGAATGAACTTTCTTCCATACCATGTGTCGAGAATCAGGATTAAGAATTAGTGTAGTCTTTCGTACCAGAATGTTTAGTTCAGAGAATGAAGCAGAAAACGGTCCCCTTGTCATGTAGGCGCATTACCAGCAACCAATTAATTTATGTCGTAATCATTTGTTGGATACAGGGATTATAGTTTCATTAATTGGTTTTGCTCTTGTTTCTAATGCTTCATATATTATCACCTTTCATGAATGCTTAGAGAAAAGAAAATGGTAGTCCCCTTGGGATTCATCTATATGTACTTCTTTTCATATAGTTGATTTCATGTATTTGAGAAATATTATGCTTAATAATTTGATGGGAATTTATCAAGTTTTTTTAATTCAAAATACTGTATCAGCCGGTGGGGGGACTGCATCAAGAGGAGAAACTTTTTTTACAGAAAGTACTTCAGGGCATTATGATTTCTCAAGAAATAAAGATTCTTTTGATCATGTCCATAGTAGTTTCACCGCTGAAGATGTCCCCAATGCTGCTTCAGAAAAAGAACTGGTAGTAGCACTATATACTAAGATCTTTTTTCTTCAAATTTGCTATTGCCATCATTCACATTGATGTTCACTTAACCCAACTTTAATTTTCAGGGTAATGAGTACTTCAAGCAGAAGAAGTTTAAGGAAGCTATTGACTGCTATTCAAGAAGTATTGCCTTCTCACCGACAGCTGTGGCATATGCAAATAAAGCAATGGCCTTTATCAAAATCAGAAGGCATGCTTTAACGGATGTGCATTTCATGTTTTTTACAATACGTCTGTTTTAGCTTAGAACATTGTTGAACTGTATTTTGTTGACAGTAGGATTTCAACTGCAAAAGAGACGAAAGTCACTGCAACATGTTGGTTGATATTTTTCTTTCTACCCCCTTTTTATGGGTCTGTAGATTTCAACAGGCTGAGGATGACTGTACAGAGGCCTTAAATCTAGATGATCGTTACATAAAAGCATACTCACGTCGAGCAACAGCCAGAAAAGAACTTGGGAAACTTAAAGAAGCAATGGAGGGTATGTTAAAACTCTAGCTTGATATTTTCCATTAGCAAAGTTAAACATCTCTGATTTATTTTTGAGTTTGTTGACTCTGATTACTGCATAAACTGCAGATGCTGAGTTTGCTCTGCGCCTGGAACCTGAAAATCAAGAAATCAAGAAACAGTATGCTGATATCAAATCTTTGTATGAGAATGTAAGCACCTCAATGGGTGGGTAATATGACTGCAGCACAACTTCTAAATGTGGACCATGAATCATTTGCCAAGGTGGTGCCTTATAAAACTTATGGGATGCTGGCAAACTGCTGCCTCTTATGAAATGGTCAGCCCACCAAAGTATTGGGCCAATGTATATTCATAGCAACCAAATCCTAAAGTTGAAGATATGCTCAAAGCCTTAGTTTTTTTAAAAATGTAGTAAGCTGGTGCAGGACGGGAATGTAAGGAGACCAAGAACCCCGTCATCTTAACTTATGATAAATATCTTTGCAAAAGTCTAGTTGAGAGTTTAGCCGAATAATAAAATTATATTGCTCAAGTGAAATGAAGTCCCAGATTTTATATTGTCTCAATCAAAGGTTCTAGTTGGTAGCTCCAAACATGTGGGATTAAGACTTGTTTTCTGAAATAATATGCCTTTTCAGCCTCTATTACTTTTGTCATTCTCACATCTCCATTGGAGCAATTTATGAATCTTGAAGCTTTTTGGCTATCGTCCAGGAAATTCTTCAGAAAGCGTCTGGAGCTCTGGGAAGCTCTCTGCAGGTAACTCAAAAACTGGGAGAGTCAGCGACAAATACTTATAGGGGAACCGTCCATCCTGTTCCAAACGTTGCTGAAAAATCAGGGGCTGCTGACCTTCAAGATCACACGAAGGTACTAATAAGCAACTCCCTCGTACTCTGGTGTCAAAGGAAGTTGTTCTTGGGGTTGCTTATTTCACACACCATATTTCTGAATTCTTTCCCCTAATTTGTCAAAAAAGAAAAAAAAGAGGAAGAAGAAGAGAAATTTCATGTTTATGGTTAAAACCGCACTGAAGACCACCATTGTCTAATTTGCAGTTTGCCCCAATAAAAATTGTATGGATCCAGGTATCAGATATCTGACGTGATGTTATTTGCGGTACTGAGAGTAGGTTTTGCTCACTATTTTGATGTGTGGCATACTAGAAAGTACATGCTTCTAATTCATAATTTACGTAGTTGATTGGCATAAATAAAAAGTCAATAACTATTATGGCTTATTAAAATTCATAACTCAAATTCTTTGTTCAAATGGCGGACAATTATTTATGCTTAATTCACTTAAAAATATGTGCCTAAACAATATTTATGATGATCTCTCCATATTCTCAATTCCATTATTGTCCCATCTTTCCTGTCGTGACTCCATCAATACTTATCTCTCTCTCCCTTTTTTTTTTGGCCCGAAAATGAATTAAAACTTAATTAAAATCAAGCCTGGAGGACGAGAAATTGTGAGTTTCTGTCCTGGAGTGTGGGGAGTGTTATGGTTTAATGTGAAATCCTCCCTAAACTTATGAAAAGCCTTTTTTACCGAGACATTTCCATTCTGCCTTGAAGCATTTGGTTTTTCTTATGTCTATTAAGATATTTTCTGTAATGAGTTCCCTAAGCAAATTAATATTATTTCAGGTTCAATGCTTTTGTTGAAAAAAATATTTTGTAAATTCCCACAGCATGTAGAACTTTATTAGGGCCTCTTATTTCTTTTTGCCTTTTCACTTTTGTATTTGTTTTCAGAAACAGGAAACAAGCATGCAACTAATGGGTATCTATTGTAATTAACTTCTCGTTTTGCATCTCCAACAGGGACATAACAGAATTAACAAGCAAGAAATGAAGGCATCCGTTCAACATCTTGCTTCACATGTGGCTTCTCGAGTTATGGCTGAAGCTGCAAAAAATATAACACCGCCAAATTCAGCTTATCAGTTTGAGGTCTCGTGGAGAGGGTTTTCAGGTGATCCTGCCCTGCAGGCTCGTCTGTTAAAGGTATTTAGTGTGATGCACTTGTCACTTCTGCTTTAATTTGTGTCAGTTTCAATCAAGCTAAAGCACCTTGTTTGTTTATTCTTGGTCCTCAGTAGTATCCTACTTTTTCTAATAAACTATGATGGTTCTCCTATGTCATATGTTAGGCCATATCTCCTCAAGATTTACCGAAGATATTCAAAAATGCCTTATCTTCTGCACTACTAATGGACATAATTAAGTGTGTGGCATCCTTTTTCACGTAAGCAGTTATCTCAGAATCTGTATCAGTTGTATTGAACCGTGTTTGAGCTTTACTAAACAATGTCTCCGTGTGTGTGTTTGGCAGTGAAGATACAGCTCTGGCTGTCAGTTACATTGAACACTTGACTAAGGTTTCAAGATTTGACATGCTCATTGTGTGTCTTACATCAACAGATAAGCATGGTATGTTTATTATTCAGTTGTCAAATTCAAGCACTTACTATTGCCCTATTTTGAGAATCTGTTAAACTAGAACTGAAGTTGCAATATATATATATATTATATTAAGAACGAGAAATCAGAGATGGTTACAGTAAGGATGATATTAGGGTTCTCCCATGGGAATGAATCCTCGTTATATGAACTTCATCTTAACTCCGACTTCTACACTTCCTTCAACACGAGTACTTCTTTTTCAAGGCTATGAGTCAAGTAATAACCATATCCTAACCCATTTTTCTTGTAGCAGTAGCAATTCCTTTCTTTCAACTTATCACGCTTCCAATGCAAACGTGATTTAACTGAGTACCTAGCTTATTTACAGATCTGCGCAAGATCTGGGAGGAAGTGTTCTGCAACGAGGCAACTCCAATGGAGTATGCAGAGATTCTTGATAACCTCCGATCCAAATACTGCATTGAACATTGACATTCATAGTGCAGGATGGATGTTATCTATATGGCTGCTATTTCTACTTGTAAATCATCATGATATTAAAATGTTTGAGCATCATTGACTCTTGAGGTTGACAATTGTAAGCTATTAGCAAAAGAAAAGGATCCTCTTGCAAATCCCATATATTGTTTTAACGTCTTGTTTAAGGATTCACCATATGTTGCGTTTCTTGATAATTTTTCTCTGAAAGTTGTACTGTAGGATTTAGATGCCTTGTCTTAATGTCGAGTTTGCCGGGGGGAAAAGGAGGGAATCTTCCGTCCTACCCATCCTCCATCCGGAAGCGCCCAGATGTTCAATGCAAGTCCGGGAGAAATTATGATTGGCTGACCTATTCTCAAGCGAGCAGGATATTTAATCCAACTTAATGAATCATTATTGCGCTTCATGTCTCACCCACTCCCATGGACCATCGGGGATCGATCACCATATCTGTCTGGCAGACATTATTGTGGCTGCCATAGTTAATGATCAGGTGGGACATCCTCGCTAAAGTTCGCTGGACCGCAAGGGCCCATGGGGTGGCATTGATACGTGTCATTTTGCGCACCTTGAAGAGCACCAATGTTCTAACTGATGGTGCGTTTGACTATTGGAATACGGGTGTGTTTGGGATAGCGGTGGCAGAAGTAGCTTTTTTTCAATCTGACTTTTATAGAAGTCAGATTGAGTAAAAGTCAGATAGGGTAATGTGATTTATGTTTGGATTGGGTTTTAGAAAAAAGTCAGTTTGAGAAGTTGAAACTTGTTTGGATGATAAATGTAAAAGTAAGTTTGAATGTAAAATGACTGAAAAGGATATAAACTTTATTAAACAATATATATTTATTTTATATATTTATAATTTGATAAGTTAGAGAAAAATTAAAATTAAAATTATAAAAATAAAAATATTTATTTTTTAAAGAATAAATAATTTATTTTTTAAAAAATGATTTTATTATTCAAAAAATAATTTTTTAATATTAAAAACTAATTAGCTGGATTGAAAAAAAAAAAAAAAAGAACTCACATAATGTATTCTCTCCACTCCCTCACTCATGGGCCCCACGAAGGGCGTAGTGGAGAAGCTGCACGAAGACGGAAAAGCTGAAAGCGGAGAAGCTGAAGGCAGCAGCTTATGAAAAAAAAGTCCATTTCCGCATAAGTCCATTTATCTTCACGGTGGATCCAAACGAAGTCACTTTTTTCAGCTTTTACCGGTGGAGAAGTTAGTTTGAGGGCCCTCACCGTGATCCTAAACACACTCACATCAGTGATAGAGATTGCGGTGGTATAATTTATCATTCTCGGGTTCTTCAGGTATGGCGTGAAACGAGGAATGGTTTTTTTAAAAAAAAAGAGGGAAAAAACTCTGTAAAATTCCTTGACTTCATCAAAAGATTCCCACCGCGACAAGCTTACTCGATTAAATTTGTTCCTAAGCAAGGGCAGCGATGATTGGACATTCTGAACGTGGTGCAAAATGGAGTGGTGCAAAATGGATAATTAAGTATCATCAATCAATCAAAACTTAAAATACTTATTTGTTTAAAAATAAGCTGGATATGATATTATAGTATATGGTGGTATTCAATTAATAAGATTTGAATAATATTTTAATTGAAACTTAAATATATTAAATTAAATAAAAAATATTATAAATAAATAGATTTTCAATTGGAGGTTTAGACAAAGAAAATATAATTAATTTTGAATTTGAATAATATCTTAATTTGAATTTGAATATGTTGAATTAAATGAGAAATATTATAATTAAATAGTGTGTCAATTGAAGGTTTTAAGAGAGAAATAAATAATTAATTTCAATTTTTTTTATTTCTCCTAGATTTTGAACATCTAATTCAAATACATTTGAATAAATAAAAAAATAATACTCTTATAAGAAGTAAATCTTGATCCGTTGTAAATAATATGATTTATTATAATTTTAAATCTAATCAAATATGCTAAGCGGAATACCCAAGGAGAAACTTCTAGTTAATTCATTATAAGATGTATGGCCGTTTAGAATAGCTTATAAGTAACTTTTTAATCGTAATTTACAGAATATGAAATAAACATGTGAGAGGATAAAACGTGTTTATAGATAATTTTAAATGTTATCCCAAACAGACCGAAATTGGAATTATTTGGCCATGTGCACCGCTCGCAAGGCATCGCCGGTTTCCCGTGTTTGCAAAATAACAAGACACGGGAGATATCGGTGGTTTACACTTCACTCTTAATAGGCCACAGACTACAAGAGGCATAATTTATTCATCTAGGTAATCCTTTGTCTTTGTCCCTTTATCTATAGTATTAAAATATATCTATAAAATTTGTCGGACTCATTTGAAATGAAACGGGAACAACAAAAAATATTATAGATGAAAAATATTGCCCCTACTTTCAATTTTTTTCCCATTCAAAAGACACTTTACCAAAAAAAAAAAAAGCAATAGATTCTACTCCTGTTAATCCTATCTCTAAGATTATATTCATTAATTCTTAATACAAGATCTCCGACAAAATTTAATGCAATATTAGATTTATTTTTAAAAGTGCTATTTTCTTTCACAATGACTGCAAGCTTCATCGTTTGCAAAACACTAATGATTAAGATTAATTTTAAAAATTGAAAAAAAATTCACAATAAAAAACTGGTAGTTGGTTGCATCATTTTTAAGTCGAGACGAGCAACAGAGCAAGTGGTAAGTTTATCCACGACAGTCAACGATGCCGGATGATCAAGTGAAAAAACCGCGAAAGAGGTCGAAGAATCAAGAATGAGGGGGTGTTTGGCAAAACCAAAACCTAGGTTTCAGAATCACTTTTCTGCAAAACGAGGTAACCTCCTCCACATATTTACTTCGTAATCCGTAAAAACACTTCTGAAATCATGGTTTGGTTTCTATCCAAACAGCCCCTGAATTATGACTTGCTGTAGCCTGTAGTTAGCAACTGGGGGAGATGGGGATTTTAAAACGGAACTGCGATGCAATTAAAGACGTTCATTTATTTATCACTTGAAACGGCCTGGACTCGGGAGGGACAAGTGGTAAACTTTACTTATTTGGAGACGCTGGAAGTTTGAAACTTTTTTTTTTTTTTTTTAACAGAGAAAGTTTGAAACTCTAGTTTTAAACTTGAGCTTCGGGTTAAACCGCTGAAGAGAAGTAAGACTTCTATCCACGGCAGAAAAAGGAAAGACAGAAGAAGACAAAATTTCAACATCGGTTCCCCGAAAGCGTGCACAAGGCATCGTGAAAATAACCCCTATCCAGATCTGCGATTATTATGCCTAGTAGTCTAGCTTGCTTCCCAACCCAATAATAATTTCCCCTTCCTGGTTCTGGTGACAGCTTCGAGCGCCACCACCTACAGAAAAGTTTAAGATTTTCTTAAATTTGAAAAAATGCCTCTCCTTTCGCCTACTCTTTGCAAGCACCCAATAAAAAGACCCCTGCTCTACTTTTTCAGTCAAATTGTGCAATAGAAAAGAAAAGACGCTGACACCGATCACGTGATCTAGCTCGTAGTCTCTCATCTTAATCCACAGCCTTTTTCGGTTCGAGTTTGGTTGCTCGTTGGCTCTTCGCTATTCGCAGCCGCTCGCTCACTTCACAGTTCGTCTCCATTGCGTGCTCTTTTGCCTAGTGAACTCTGGGGACCATTCCCCACTTTCGCTTTCCCGATCTGCTTCCGCAGGGCTAGGTATACTTTGCCGGTTTTCTTTTCTTTTCTAGAGTTCTCAGAAATGTCGTTGAATCGACCACAGGCGTCCTAGAGAGTCCCTGACGAGGAGGGGTGGCATTATTTTGCATTGTCGTCTCCTGGTTCTAGTTGCTATCTAGAATAATCTCGGTACAGTGTGTGGCACTCAACATGTTTCTTTTCTACTTTTCTAGTTGTGCCTTGCTTTACTCCTCTAGTAGCTGGTTTTCTTCGCATCTCACATTTTTTTCGTTTCCGCTGCTACTCAGTCTGTACTGTGAACTCTGGATGGGTTGCATTTTGCTTTAGCGTTGTCTTGCCTTTCATCTTTTCGCCTCACTGATTCGAGATTTTTCTGTGTCATACTTTCGCTACTTGTTTTGCTAAACCGTCAAAGTCATCCTTTTCCGGGTCTGATTGTCCATTTTTCTTGTATTTTTCTTTTGAAAATGTGCAGGAAATGGGTTTCATCTCCCAGAAGGTCTTTCCAGCATGCGGAAACATGTGTGTCTGCTGTCCTGCTTTGAGGTCGAGATCTCGCCAACCGGTTAAGCGCTACAGAAAACTATTGGCTGATATGTTTCCGAAATCCCCAGTACTTATCTTACCTTTTCTTTTAGATTAATCCTGTAACCCCTTTGAGTTTCTATCGGCTTGCCATTTTGATAGCCCACTATTGTGACTGATTTTTGCTGGCTAATGGTTCTATGGTTCTTACAATACATATTCGGGCGGTGAATGCAAGCTGTTCTCATTACTAGGGCATGATCCTCGCTGTGCTAAAATAAAACCCTGCTTTTGTCTATTTTTGGACCTTTTATAACCAAATGCGGACATTTGTCTTGCCATTTTCCTTGAGTTGGTGCATAACTAGAACTATTTAAGCGCTGCTAACTACGGGGGCTATCCAAGGCAAAGAACACAGTTTTTAATTGTACTTGGCATTTGAAAAGGCATGTTTTTTGCAGCTCGTTCCCATTGCTTTGTACGAGCAAGAGCCTCTCGTATCCTTGACTTGATCATATGCTTTTCAGGATGGGCCTCCAAGTGACAGGAAGATTATCAAATTATGTGAATATGCATCAAGAAACCCAGTCCGAATCCCCAAGGTATTTGATAATATAGATTCAGTATTGTATCTTGTATATGTGAAGATTAAGCGGATTAAAAACAAAAAACTAAAGACAAAAAATGGACATACTTGGATGAAGTGAATCAATTGCTGAAGTACATCATGTCTCCCTATTCTGCTAGATTGCAAAATATCTTGAAGAAAGATGCTACAAAGAGCTCCGATCTGGGCACGTCAGACTTGTAAATATTGTGACAGAAGCTTTTAACAAGTTGCTTTCCATGTGTAAGGTGCAGATGTAAGTTTTTCAGGATTAATGAGTTTATATTTCCACATTCTGATGGGGCATTGCCATTTTTATATAAATGCTATATTGTTTGCTTATCATGTACTGCCCCTTAATCTGAGAGTAGTTCGTAACTTTGTATGTGGTTCTTCTTGTATTACATTAATGCGTTCTGTGCATTGCAGAGCTTACTTTGCTGTCAATGTTCTTAATGTTATTTCTGAGCTCTTGGGATCTTCTAAGCATGATGACATTCGGACCCTTGGATGCCAAATCTTAACGACATTTATCTATAGTCAGGTACGGAACACAATCAGAAGTCTTGGCCTTTGTGCTGTTTGCTCATGTAACTTGTGCATGGTTGTACTTTGTTTAAATCAATTTTTTACTTAGAATTGACTGTAATGTTAACCAGGAAAAGGACTGACCCTTCATTTTTCTTCATCTTCTTGTGAGGAAAGGAGGGATAGATCAAGCATTTATTTAATGATGATAAATTGATCTGTGTATCATGCATCTTGACATCTGTAATATGGATAAGGAAAGGGTAAAGGGTATTTTAGTACTAGAGTAATCTAAAGTGAGTAAAAGCATATATACGACATTCATAACCTTGCAGGTCGCCAACTAGTAGCTGATAGATCAAGCATTTATTTAATGATGATAAATTGATCTGTGTATCATGCATCTTGACATCTGTAATATGGATAAGGAAAGGGTAAAGGGTATTTTAGTACTAGAGTAATCTAAAGTGAGTAAAAGCATATATACGACATTCATAACCTTGCAGGTCGCCAACTAGTAGCTGATCCTTCATTTTTCTTTGTTCTCCTGTGGGGAAGGGAGAGGGGTAGATTAAGCATTTGTTCATACCACTTTCTAGTATAGTTATAATTACAACTTGGTAGCTTTCATCATTTCTGTCATACACTGTTATTCTGTTCATCTATTGACTTGATAATTGTACAGGCAGATACCACTTATGCTCACAACATTGAGAAATTGGTGAGGAAAGTATGCATCCTTTCACAGGAGCATGGTGAATCACATGCAAAGTGCTGTTTGAGGGCAGCAAGCCTGCAATGCCTCTCAGCTATGGTAATGAAAGCTTTATTTGATTTCCTTTGCATTTCAAATTTACAACAGTTGTTGCTTTCTAGTATCTTTGGTTTCATTCTTGTGTTGATTTTGCCCCTTTCCTCCTTTGATAAGAGTAATTTTTCATTTTCATGCCCTTGTTCTTGGCAGATATGGTTTATGGCTGAATTTTCGCACATCTTTGACGACTTTGATGAGGTGAGTTATTCAGTTGCTTAACCATGGGACCACTATAGATGTTAAGTAAACTCTGTGGTCATATTGCTTGAGGCATATCTTGTATGTTTCTTTTCCTCTCTGTCTTCAAACATTTAAGATTAGATGATTATGGTGGAAATGTGTGCTTTTCTGGAAAACGTATTATAATTATTATTTGTTGATCAGTTGCTCTTTGTAATTTCATGTATTGAATTCCTGCTTGTAATTTCATTTGATATCCTTGTTATGTTGGTTCTTTCTAAATGCAGATTGTCCATGCCACCTTAGATAATTATGGGAGAGCTAGGTATGGTGAAGGCGATGACATCAGGGCAGAGCCTCGTCATAATTGGGTGGATGAGGTTGTCCGATGTGAAGGGTGGGGTGGTGCAGTCATTGGTAATGAGAACCGCTTTAGTAGCTTGATTCTCCAGCCTCGGCCAGAAATAAAGGATCCTTCCCATTTGAATAGGTAGATGGTCATTATTCAAGATCTTAAAATGAGTTTTTTTAAATATTTGTGATAAATTTTAATTTAAATCCTGCTGCTTGCTTCAGTTACACATTTTATTTTCCCTGATAATATCTATTACGCAGTTTGTTATTAGATTTCTTCTGTATTTTGCTTTATAATTGTAGAGAAGAAATTGAGAAACCAGAAATTTGGGCTCAAATATGCATTCAAAGAATGGTTGAGTTGGCGAAGGAAAGCACAACCATGCGCCGTGTACTTGATCCAATGTTCGTCTACTTTGACTCTGGACGTCATTGGCATCCTCAGCATGGGTTAGCAATGATGGTTCTATCTACCATGGCATATTTTACTGATAATTCAGGTACCAGTCTCTCAATAACTCCTGACAGAAATACTGGCGGGGAATAAATTATTGTGGATTTGCTGTAATATTCTAATTTTTCTCTCGTTTTAATTGTTATTCCCTAGAGAATCAGGTGTTAATTCTGGCTTCTCTGATTCGTCATTTGGACCACAAAAACATTGTGCATGATCCCCAACTTAAAACTAGTGTCATTCAAGTTGCTACCGGTTTAGCTATGCAAATTAGGTCAGTTAGAGGGTTGGTGGAGATTGGTTTTGTTGGTGATCTTTGTCGGCATCTTAGGAAAAGCCTTCAAGCCTCCAGTGAATTGGTTGAAGAGCAAGAGCTAAACTTGAATATCATGCTTCAGAATTCCATTGAGGAATGCTTACTAGAAATTGCAAAAGCGGTGGGTTTATAGTGAGCAGTTCTTTGTCCTTTTATTTTATCCACAAATTCAATTTTTACAATAGATTAGGTCATTGCCTTCTGCTACTAAAATACTTCCTCTTCCTGGGATGACTAGATTATTGATGTTCGGCCACTCTTTGACTTGATGGCAATAACCCTGGAAAATTTGCCAGCTGGCATTGCGGCCAGGGCAACCATGAGATCGTTGATAATACTCTCCCGTATGATAGCTTTGGCTTTACTCCGTTCACATGCACAGCAGGTGAGATGAACTTCTCATGATCATTTTGTTTAAATAAAGAATGCATACTACAAATTTGAAGCAGAATTTTAACTAATTAAAATTTTTGCTATTTGTTTCTGTTTTGATCAATCAGACTGAACCATGCTTGTGTGAACTTTTCTTATGCTTATGTTATCTTGGAATACACTGGTTGACCATTTATGGTGATTTCATGCAGGCATTCCCTGAAGTTCTTCTTGTGCAACTCTTGACAGTGATGCTGCATTTGGATGTTGAGGCTCGTGTTGGAGCACACCAGATATTTTCTATGCTTCTTTTTCCAAATTCCTACCATCCTCATGAATATTCAGACCAACACAAAAAATGGCATACCCCTACTTCCACTGGATCTGCATATGCATCTGCTTCAGTTTCAGCTTTGCTTGAAAAGCTCCGCAGAGGTAGTGATGGAACAAAGACAGGGAATCATGGCCAAGCTGTTCTTGATGATTATAAGGAGAGGGATATTGTGGAAGATTGGAAGCAGGGTTGTAGCTTGAAGAATTCACCTAACTTTTACAGACTGAGCTCTATCATTGATAAGACTACTGGATCATCAAATCTGACTGACATGGTAAGCATCTGCAATTGGTTTTGATGAATGGATTTTGTTATTTGTCATTATACTATAGTCAATATGGATCTTTGGCAAAATATAAGGTTTGGTGTTAAATTGGCTCAGGAACCAAACGTCTTGAAGCTAAGTGAAGATCAAATTGCCCAGTTGCTTTCTTCCTTTTGGGTTCAAGCCAATCTTCCAGATAATTTGCCTTCAAATATTCAAGCTATAGCTCACTCCTTCATGTTAACACTAACTGCTTTACACACTAAGGTAGATTTTTTCACAGTCCCATTACTTGCTAAGGTAGATTTTCTTATACAGTCCCATTGCTTGCTCTATATACTGTTGTAATTATTCTTGCATATGATTTTTCATGATTACACCTTTTTGGTTAGGTATGTACCATAAATCCAATGGTTGTATGCTTTAATTTGTCTATCAATCATGTCCTCATTATCACTGATAGTTTTGTCATCAGATCTTTCTTGGTTCACATTGCTTAGTTAGTTGTATTTGCATAGGCCGATGGCCTACCTTCTTGTTGGACTTGTATGCTTACACCTACAACAATAATGTGGTACTTATTTTGATAAGAAACTGCATTTAACTGTGGTCAGTATTCATTACTGATTTCGACTTCTGTTTTTGCACCCATGTTTGATTGTCTAAATCTGTTAAAATGTAATGTTGCAGAACCTGAGAGATAAAGATAACTTGGTAGTCCGCTTCTTCCAGCTTCCTCTTTCCCTCTGGAAAATGTTGTTGGAACCAAGCAATGGTGTGACCTGTAGAGAATTTTCCATTTCTGATGTTAGTAAACTCCATTGAAGAGAATATGAAATTGATCAATTAATGTTCTGGCAGGAATGTTGCCTCCAGCTTGTCAGAGGTCTGTATTTGTACTGTCTGCAAGCATGTTGATGTTTGCCAGCAAATTGTATCAGATTCATGAACTGAATGACTTGTTCAAGTCATTAGCAGTATCTGAAGTGAGTGACTGGATTTTTGCTACTTGGCATCTAATGCCTGTTAGTTTATTACTATACCAGCTTTCGTGGTATAAAAGCCAATTTTTTGGGGCATATCTATAAAAATATCTCCTTAACAGTTGGTTGCTTTCCATAAAAACAGATTGATCCATTCTTGGAAACCAGTGATGACTTTCAAGTTTATGCTAAAATCCATGTGGACGCAAGAGAATATGGTACTGCTGCTGATAATCAGCTGGCCATGTCTACAATTTCTGAGTTACAGAACAAAATATGTGAATACAAGCAGGCCATAAAGGATATTTTGGTTCGGAATCTGGCGAACATCACTAAGGTATTGCATTTCATTCAGAGACCTTACCTTATGCTTTACGTACTGCTAGCACTGTCTAATTTTCCCCTTTTATATCTGTTAAGTTGGATGCTGATAGCCTTGCCGCACAATTGGAAGAAGTGTTCAGGCCTGATGAAGAATTTATGTTTGGGCCAAAATCAATTCTTGATCAGAATCACAAGATTATGCATTCCAAGGAATCATTGTCATTTGATGGGGTATATTCTCTCGGCTAATTGACAATTCGAAATTAGTTTTTTTCTCATTGAAGCTCTCTGTGAATATCTGAAGAGTTCAGAATTTCTTCAAAAACACATTTAAAACCAGAGACGTAACCTTGACCTTCAGTTGAAAGATCAACCAGCTGCCACAGAACACCATGGCCAGGGTGTTTCTTTTTTTTTTTGGGTTTTGTGGAATGGTCCCATTTATTGGTGTCTGCATTATGCAGGATTTTCTCTCAAATTCAGTAGCTGAAGATGATGCCACCAGTGAAGCATCTGTTTCTGACGTGTCTCGGTTTGTTCCTAAGATGCCTGCATCCCCAGCTGTGCCCCATCGTCTTATCAGCATTGGACAGCTTATGGAATCGGTATTAGTTTTTCTCCCATGCCTACGTAAATTTTATGAGAGGAATACACTGTAGTTCGCAAACTTTGCTATATCTACCTTAATGTGGATATGCCGGTACAATTACTTGGTTGGTGTTTTGATCTGCTGCTCAGAGAGGGGGGAAAAATCAAAGGATCAGGTAGGGCCCACCGGCCTGTGCAAGTCTCTCTCTGCACAGTACTTTTGCCGCACAAACTGAACCCTGGTGCTATGAAACGCTTAAAATGATATTGCAGCCAGATATTAGGATCAGTGGTTGCCCGAGTTTGAGTGAAACACTTGCTGAATCTCCAAAATTTGCCTGAGGCTAACTTTCCAAGCAATATAACAGGCATTTAGATCACAGAATATGTTTAATATCACTCTTTATTCTTGCCTCTTTTGGTTCCATAACCTGTACTATTGTTCTTACTTTTTAGGCACTAGAGGTAGCTGGTCAAGTAGCAGGAACGGCTGTCTCCACTTCTCCTCTCCCATACAATGCCATGGCTAGCCAGTGTGAAGCCCTTGGGATGTGTGCAAGGAAGAGGCTCTCAAACTGGCTTGCCTACGAGAACCATTACAGTCATACAGATGATAAATCACTTCTGGCATTTAATGAAAAAGGAATTTCAGCAATTGAGAAGGTCGGCCTCATTCTATGTCTAAGAGCCTTTTTTGTTTCATTTAAGCATGTCCGTATAGAGGGTTACTGATTTACTATCTCTCGGTTGCAATAGAAGATTTCATTATTGTCGGTCAGTAATTGCACAAAAACTATGAACAGAACTTTTCAGACTGTTCTAAATATACATCCAACTCTTAAATGTAGTGTAAATTTCTCTCTCCACCTGCATGCAGGTAGCAAATGATGGTGGACATGCCCATGTAGCTGCATTGCCAGGGGACCCATGGCTGGCCATGAAGCTACCTCCTGCAAGTCCATTCGACAATTTCCTCAAAGCTGCTAGGTGTTAGATGATGTGATATTCTTCCCAGCAGTAGTTTTTAAGGATCAGTAGCATAACTTCCATCGTGAAACATGAATATCGCTTTAGATGTGCTTCCGCTTAGATTTATATTCCCAAGAACTTAACTAGTCTTTACCTAACTGCCCCCGCATTGCATAGCATTTACTTGTTATAACCCAGGGAAATTCTGTACTTGAGCCTCTGGATTGGAGGAACTGCTATTCTGAGAGCTGTAAAAAGATTTTAGGCGGGGCACAATGGTCGAATGACTCGTGTAACAAAATTCCTAACTTGGTACCTACTTTGTGGAGCTGATAATCCCCGTGCGGGTTTGATAGGTCTGTTTATATCATTAGGTATTCCAGAACCGGTACTGAATATAACTGCCTGACGACGGCTTTTGTATTTTAGTATGGCTTGCCCTCAATTTTTTTCTCTACTTCAATGAGTAAGACAAGTATTAATGGAACTCCGAAATAAGAGAGTATACGATCCTTTATATTCTTAGACCTACAGAGATATGGATTTTGACGATCTTGTTGAAGATAGATATGCAGGTTAAACGAAGACGGAAATGACCACATAAAATGGGGAGGAAATTGAGAAATGTTGTGACGTCAGGGAGTAGGGTGGTGAGAGGGACGGAGGGTGAGGGGGAGGACACTTTGTGAGGGGGGCCTACTCAATAGATCTTGTAAAGAAGAGATCTTACTTTTCTTTTCGGCCTTTTAAACAAAGGAGCAAACCAGAGAGTGATGGAGGTGGTGAGAGGGACGGAGGGTGAGGGGGAGGACACTTTGTGCAGGAGAGGGGGGCCTACTCAATAGATCTTGTAAAGAAGAGATCTTACTTTTCTTTTCGGCCTTTTAAACAAAGGAGCAAACCAGAGCAAAGTGATGGAGAATTTGTCGGTCAGGTACACGAATGGGGTAAAAGTACTGATCCTTGTTGTGGTGATTTATTGTCCGGGCTCAGCTTTTTTATGAAATCCTTTCCATCTGGGTGTCGTGTTTTTGGAGGGGTGGCCCCATGGTGGTCTGGCGTCACTATAAACTGTTTGTGTCGGCGACTCACAATCTGCTCTAAACTAATTGGCTGTGTCTAGCTGAGCTCTGCTTTTGCTGATGAATTTCTCTAAGAGGCTCTGAAAAAACATGGGAAAAGAAGTTCTTTTGCAGCCACGGGTGATTTATTCCATCATGGAGAAAGATGCGGCTCACCTAGTATTCATTGAATCAGAAGTCATTTAAATGGGGGATTTGGTGGGAAGAAGAGATGAAGTGGATGTTTGCTTGATAGTCACCCTTGCGCTCAAAACATGGGGGTCCAAGCAGTACGGAAAGAAAGGGGTTGCGGTGGAAAAGGGGGAGAAGTATGAATGAAGAGTTGCATGATTGAATCAGAGTGCGACATTGAGGTCCAATTATATTCCAATTTGTGGGGATCTCCCTGTCCTCGCTTGCTTTAGTTTTATTTATTTTATCAGGCGCCTTCTTCCTCTTCTTTCTTTCTCCGCTTAGGACCCCACCCATCTTCTGTTTTTTTTTTTTTTAATCCGTTAAAAAATGGTGAGTGTTCCCATTTTGAGTTTTACCATTTACTTCCTCTTTTGATTTCTTTTTTAAGCTTTCATCAGCTGAATTGAAAAATACTAGTAGTATATATTAAAAAAAAATTTCATAAAACAAAGCTAAATCTCTCAATTCTTAGTACATGATTTGAGGTATGGTCATTCCAACTCATATCATACTAATATATAAATAAGGATTAATATCTGCCCCAGCATCTATTTCTTTGTAGATGTGCTTTTGTCTTCTTCTTTCTTTCTTTTTTTTGTTAGAAAAAAAAATGTGAGCACGGATCATCTCTGCCCTGGCGACTACTTGGTTTAGATTTTACGTTCGGGGAGATTAGTTTGTAGCACGTGCCAAAAAGCTTAATAATGAAAAAATGAAAGGCAGTTTGTGTTGAGAAGGGCAATTGTCACAATCGTTTTCATGCGAAGATTCGCCTCGATAGGCTTCAACCACCTTTCCAGGATATCGCTGGTCGAGTAATTACTGCTTCCCATGTAAAGGTATTTTTAATCCCGACTGAAATCATGATTTTGTCCCTACTCTTTTGTCATATTCCCGACAATTTAAAAAGTGTGTGAATGGATCCAAAATATAATTTTAAAAATAATTTTATAATATATAAAACATGCGAGGAGTTTTGTGAAAATGTTTTTTTAAAGTAATTTGGGATTCCAAACGCTCCTTTAGTCTGCGATAAATTTCTTTTACGTGATATTAAAATCAGGATCATTGAACCAATCAAATCAATAAACATGTGTAAAACGCTTTTTTTAACTTGTTTGGTAAAGAATTTTATCTTCTGTATTTTTTTCTCTTTAATGATTTTCCTAAAAAAAATATAATCTGACAGATTTATCCTTTACCTATTTTATTTTATTAGACTATTATATATATTACGTGTGCATTAATGTCTTTTTATTTAAATATTATTTTTTCTGGCCAAAAAAATTTGAATATTATTCTTTTCAATATTATGTATGAATATTTCATATATTTTAATTAAATTAAATTATTTTAATTATAATGAGGTTAACCACTTGTGTCACTGATCCTCGCAGCGCGAATGATTAGTTTGATTTTCAACAAGGTTGCGTCAACACCATATGCAATGAACGGAAGGAATATGGTCAAGTACTGGCAACGGTAGTCGTCTGCGGAAAGCAAAACCATCTCTCTTTTGCTTGTGGGCTGTCTTCTACGGATGTTATTTTTGGGCTCCTTCATCTAACTTTTTTAGTCCTTTATCTTAAAAGCAAAACCATTACTAAGTACTCACAGAAATTATATCTAGTCAAAGAAACTAGTTTCTTATAATATAATGAACTAAGATTTGAATCTTTATTAAAAGAGTTACTCACATTTAGTATTTACAGACTATAGTATTTTGAGTAGGATTATCTCCAATAAAAAGATACGTATGCTTAAAAAAAAAAAAGCAAAACCATTTCACTGAAGATCCTCATTTAGACACAACAATTATTTTCTTTCTTTTCCTCTCTCTACTCACACGCGCGCATAAAACAAAAAATATATCAGGCTATTTTAAAAGAAAAACTATAAATTTTTCTCCAAAACTTCTTTTTTTTTTTGGCTATGCATTATAAGGGTTTACCGCTTGAGGTAGTCTCGGGTAGTTCTTCAAAGCTATTTATTCTGAAAATTTTTCTTTCCATTTTATAAAAAGAATTTGACCTACTTCTAAGTAATACTACCTTTAATGCTTAATATAAAATCTTATTTGATTTTTATGTTTGTCCTAAATATAAGACCCTAATCTATTTTGTCCTTCATATTTATATTTTTTTTAAGGTAATCCTTCTAATAATGGTAGTTCTAGCCAATACACTTGATTAACAATGATATTTTAGGAAAAACAGCACATATTTATTACAAATAACTAACTTAACTTATTTTTTTAATCTCATCAAATTAATCAACTAGCTCTTATAATTAGGACTGAAAGTAGTAAAATTTCTTTCGCGGTCAGCAAGTGAAAAAAGGTTGAAACTTGTGTGCAAAAAATAGCAGGATTATCATAATCGTCCATGATGCTTTTTTAACGTATCAGATGTCTGTAAATTTAGTCATCTGAAAAGTGCAAATTTGATAAAAATTCCGTGCCATGATAAAATATTAATAAAAGCAATAATCAAAGGATAACAAATTTTATCAAGATTCAATGAAGGAAAATTTTTGTTCCAAAACCTAACTCCACAACAGTCCCAACTGATTTCGTTAATTCACAGTGTTTTATTTTATCGAGGTTTTATGCGAGTTTCTATTATTTCTAAACCCTAATGAAATTTCGTAAGTGTATTATGGAGTTCACCTAAACTATTTTCTATAGTCTATACAGAGACATCTGGGCAATGATCCCCTGGATTTTGATCTGCACTAATGCAGTAATTATTAAATATTAAAACCATAATCTATCTGTTATTAGGCCTGTGTGCTGTAACTGCCGGAATTATTTTTGGAGCGAAAACAGAAATCCATTGCCACCTCAAGAAAGGGAGCGCATAAAAAAAAAAAAAATCGAATCTTTGAAAATTGAGGTGGAAACCCAAAGATAACGTACTTGTTTAGGAAAATGAAAATAATTAAGTTTTCTTGGATAAAATATTTTATTAAGCACTTTCTCGCAGAATTATCACGTTTTGTTCCAGTCTTCCGGATGCATTTTAAGGTTTTTTCTCAAAAAAAAAAAAAGAGGTTAGCGTCACTATTTTTCTTGACAGTATTAGTTAAACCTCACAGTAGAATTATCGCGTGTAATGCTAACTCCATTAGTCAAAAGCTCAACTCAATCATACATGCCCCGGTAATAAAGCACAAATAAGACGAATTTGCATCCCCTTCAATCACCCTCAAATAATTTATACTACCATCTTTTCTAATTATAACAACTAGTTGATTAATTTGAAGATATTAAAAAAGTAAGTTGAATTAGTTATTTGTCTTAAATAGGTATTGTCTTTCCTAAAATATTATTGCTGATCAAGTGTATTGACTAGAACTATTATTATTAGAAGAACTACTTTGAAAAAAAATATATAAGTATGAGAGACAAAGTGGATTGGGGTTTTATATTTAGGATTAAAATAAAAATCAAACAAAATTTTATATTAAGTATCACAAGTTGCATTTTTATTTCTATTCTTCTAGTTTGAATGTTTTATTATGTCATTGAAATCTTAAAAACAATATCATAATTTTATCTTACAACTTAATATTTTGAATTAAATTCATCATTGTCTCAACATTATTTTATCAAATAACATCACTGCTGTTAGATATACGCGAATTTGGTTTTATGTACGTACGACTACGAAGTATATCCTTCAACATTTTTTGCTGAACCTCAAGTATGCATACTACCTCTTATTCTTGACATAAGAGTTAGCTAAAGATTAAATTTGATCTAAAATATAAATTTGATTTTGTTTCTCAAATTATAATATTTTTTAAAATATCTTTATTATTGAATTTTGTTTCTCAAATTATAATATTTTTTAAAATATCTTTATTGATTGAAAGAGTTTCTATCAAAAAAATACGACTACGAAGTATATCCTTCAACATTTTTTGCTGTGAACCTCAAGTATGCATACTACCTCTTATTCTTGACATAAGAGTTAGCTAAAGATTAAATTTGATCTAAAATATAAGATTTTAGTTGATTTTGTTTCTCAAATTTATAATATTTTTTAAAATATCTTTATTGATTGAAAGAGTTTCTATCAAAAAATAATTTTTATGTGTATGATTAAATAGGGTAGTTTAAAAAAATCAACACATATCTATTATAATTAACATACCTAATTAATTTTTTT